TGAATGAATATACGAAAACAAATACGATGGAGCAAGAAAATTGGTGGTATTTCGAAAATATCCATAAAAATGAAATTAACTTTATAGAAATTTCATCTAGTGTAAGCGTAAATGTAGTCCACCATGCTTTAATAGCCTTTTGACACCATCAATCCAAGACCTTCGAAAGTTTCACAACGTTCTTCCAGTGTGTTTCACATTCGATAAATATTTTAATACTTCTGAACAAGAGCGTGCTTGTATATTAACAAGCATGAACGTACGTGTCACATAAAATATGTAATACTCTAATTGAAGTTACTATAGACTCACGCTAGGAAACTTTGGTAACACGATTATAAAGAAAGTGGAGGACGCACACGATTCTGCATGTTGATTAGACTGAAATAACCGCTCATTTAGTATGAGTTATTTAACATGACACAGGAAGTATATCGACTGTCCTATAAACAGTGGAAAAATTTACAGTAAAATTTGCATTACATAGCCTTTCATTTTCGAGGAAAATCAAGCTGTAGTTGTTCGTCTGCCACCGAACAGAGAATGTTTCGTAACACGTGAAATTGACTTCAGCCCTGGACAGAGGATGCAAAATTAACCCTTTCAGTGCGGAATAACGCAACATGAACAAAAGCGGTCTGTGTAATCAGAAAAAAAATAGTTGCTACAAACGTCATGGACGAGTACTTCTCCATACTGACGGATACTCTGAGCGCATTGTATGCGCCCTGGGGCCGAATTGAATTTTTTCGTCTGAGCACACATGTCCGCCAATGGTAGTAGTAAAGGGTTAATAAAAGAAAGCAGAATTCATATAAACGTGAACTCTGTCAAAACCTTATTTCCGATTTGCACACATTTTACACACCAATGATTCTACAAGTTAAGGCAGTATAACTGGTTCTAGTAAATTGTTCACGAACAATGCGCGACAACTCTTTCTTGTTAAATTGTAAAAGTACAGTTCTAGATTCAATTCAAAGGCTCTGTACTGCCTGTAGAGAGAAGTAGTTACACATTACTGATCTATCGAAATATCTAGTAGCTCGAAAATACAGCCAAATACGGTACACGCCTGTAAAGTGGATAAAATATTTCGAAATAAGGAATACCTTAGAGATATAACATAACATAAAATATTATACAAAACATGGTAAAAAAAAACTAAATTTATGGTACAAGGTTACTAAATCTAACTCGATGAACAACATATCATTCGATATACCATTACAGTTGGTCACAAAAGTATTCAGCCACTTTAGACATTAAGTAAATTTTGCGTTGAATTGTAAGTTTGCAAATAAAGAACTATATTAAAACCATTAATGATGTTTAATGATCATTTGTGATAAAATAAACTAATAAGGTTTCGATATAGTTTTTTATTTGGAAACTTCCAATTCCATGCAAAATTCACTTAATCCCTAGAGTGGCCGAATACTTTTGTGACCAACGAAGAAACTGTCCGATCCACATGATTATTTAACTACCACAACAGAACTAATTCTCTCTTCCCTACAAATCATTCCAATAAAATCATATGTTCCTCCCTTGTCAAACGCATCCAATCCTCTAACCACAAAGTGTCCCGTACCCCAAACAGGCCCCGAACGCGTGTTTGAATCCATGAAACTCTATTCCCGTTAATCGACAACGGGACTAACAGGGGTAATTGTCGCGAGGATCAAATTCACCTCGGTAACCACGTTAACGGCGATAACCCGCGAGAGACACAAGAAAGTTTCGGGAAGCAGCGGCTAGAACCGGAAGCGAACGATAAGTGCGAGTTTCGCACAGCGGCGGAGGGTAGCAGCGAGGTGACAGCGAGCTGGCGATAAAGGGGATATCGAAATTGATAGCCGGGCAAACGGTGGGAACGTTTTATTAGATTTTTACGATGCTTCCCTCAATAACGACCGTCTGCCGAACTGGACGGTGGAGCACGTACTCATTTACGAGTCATATTTCGTCCCTGCCCCCTCCAGACGGAACGGTAACATCAGGAAAGAGAAATAAAGGTGACGGCGACGAGTTTTCCAATTGGCGCCAGCTACTCCCTAATCTCATAACATCGACGGTCATACAGCCATTCAATCTAGTGCACGGTGGCGAATTATTTCAGAATCGTGGACAAAATTAACATCTTCAAAATTAACTAGGAAATATTGAGATTTAGCAGAGTGGAATTGTCTCGACAACGAAACCTCAAACGAATAAAATTTATTATTTACAGTCAATCCTTGATGAGTATTTCTGTCTTCTGGTCATAGTAACTATGTTATCTATTTGGTCACTTCGGACCCATTACCTCCCGCATCCTAATTTTCACAGTAATACACCTCTGTTACTCAAACCACGTGTTTCAGGTTCTAATTTGAAATCTATAATTGTTGCCGAGACATAAGGTCGTCCATTAAAATTTTTACCAGCACGATATATCTTACATGACTTCATAGCAGCGATTTATTCCGATTAGCAACTTGTATTAAACTTACCATGAAAATCCCCTTATACTTGTGTAAGACTAATGAAATTGAAAAATGCATCTCTCAAGTAGAATAACCTGTCCCGTGTCAGACGTATTTTGCGCATATTTCGCCTGTATATTCATCAATTAATAACTCGGAAATTCAGCGTCAAACGGACTTTCATCATCATTGATTTTCGTCTTAATTTTCCACATAGGACTAACCCTATGCAAATATGTCTCACATTTTTATTAACATCTCGTGTATTTTCACCGATTAATAACTCGGAAACTCAGCGTCAAACGACCTTCCGTCGTAATTTTCCACGTAGGACCCACCCTATGCAAATATGTCCCATATTTGTATTAACATCTCGTGTATTCAAATGCACTACAGAATATTTGTCTGAACGAAACCGTCCCGTGACCGTTCCATGTTTTGAACGGGATAGCACTAGCCTTACTTTACGGGGCTGTAAAACGTCCGGAAATATTTTTCTCGCCGTCGTGTCGGTCCGGTTTTACGATCGCGCGACGACGGTTTGTTTCGTCGGGCGGTGACGGGTGACGCGGTTCCTTAATTCCACGATTTCTCTGCGTTTCCTTCTCGCGCGAAGAAGGACGCGTCCTCCCGTGGCCCTCTTTACGAATTGAAACGCGGCCTCTTTTCGTGGGAGGGGTATAACAGGGTTTAAATATTTCGCGACCGCCCGGGGAACGGGGGAACTTAAAAAAAGGAGACACTCGAGGGATGCGATCTCGTTTCGCGGGGAAACAAACGCCAAGCTGGCCAGGTGTTTCCACGGGAAATGTAGAACACCGCCTGTGACCTTTGTCCGAGTGAAAACGTTTGTGTACTGGGGTGTTCCGTGACTACCGGTGAAATCTCGGCTTGTTAACGAAATTTGTTGTAGGAAACAGAATTTGTCGTAACGACCGTGTACATTCGATCATGAGTAGACTGCGGCTGTTTATGCATTTATAGTACCTTTTCATATGGAAAGTGCAATAAAATAGAGGTTTTTGATCAATTTTAATATTATTGTGTGCTATTATTAACATAATAAAGCCTCTGAAGGAGAATTCAAATTTCTACACAATTTTAATTTTTAGATATTAGAATCTGTAATTATGAATTCGCGTTAATTTCCGCAGTCTAGTCAAGAGAGATATTATGTACGGTATAAGCTAAATTTATTCAACTATTCATCTCCGGGATGTCGTAGTAAAGTTCCTTATTGAACTTCTAACAAGCAATTCCATTATCGAGCCTGATTAACCTTTTGAAAATTTGCAATATCTTCACCGTCAAGCGTATCTCAGGTTTATACGTGTAATTAACTGTTTGAACTATCTCCCCGATTCTCAAGGAAAGGCCATACCAATTTCCCCGTCTGAGAAATCTTCAATTTTAACGAATAATCCTAACGCAGCACATTTTCTCCGAACGAAAAAGCTGCCCTAACTGGTCACGGTCGGGTGAGAGTGCACTAGGAATAAAGTAGTTCTTTAAATCGAAGTCTTAATGAACTTTAATACCTATTTTCTTTTAGAACTGCCTTTTTTGTTAACTTTATATATCAATGGCTACGTTCCTTTCTAAAAATAAAAAGTTGAACTTGATTACGTAATTTTTTTTTTTCATTCAAAATCCCAATTTTCTATAAATGGTAACGACCCCAAAAGTTTATTTAAGACATGTAAAAAAACTACTGTAATAATTTCTTGAAATATAGAACATATTTGAAGGCAACAATGAGACGTCGAAAAAAAATTGTTTAGTCCGTTTAAGAAGTACCCTAGAGTGCACGGTAAAAAGAAAATGGCCTGGTCGGTCGGGAGCCTCTAATTGGGCCCCACGGTACGTATGTACTTACTTCGATTTGCCGCTCTCGGTCGGCCGTTGCATTTTTCAAATAATTAACTCGATGAAGCTCAGCGCAGCCGGGATATCTCGTCGCGGTTACCAGCCACCGAATGAATTACGGTCACCGAACAAAAGCCGAAGGAATAATAATCGCGAGACGAGGGACCAGGTGGTTCTAATTTCGCGGGGAGGAGGGAGATCTTTAACCCTCCGTGATCCCCGTTATTTTTACTGCTTCTGTCACCCGCCCTCGATCTTTGACATCTAAGACTTAATTTCTGTTTAATTTATAAGCTTTCAAAAATCTGAAAAAATTCAGGGATATTTCCCAGAGTCTTTAGTACATGATCCAATGATTTTTAAAGTTGGGTCAACTTGTTGAAAAACTACTTCCTCACCGATTTCAATGATTTTTGAATATGTTGTAGAAATCGACATTCTGAATAACTATAAATTAAAAAGAAACTAGTTCTTCGACAAGTTTACCTAAAGTTGAATGTCGAAAGATTTTTTTAGTAACAATTCTTTCGTTTCGAAGACATTTAGGTGCGAAATTTGGCTTGTGTGCCACAAAAATGACCCAGGAGGTGAACAGAGGATTACCGTTATAAACGTCCACGGCGAGAAATAATAATCCATGGCAAAATGACCCGTCTCGCGTTCCAGGACTACGGACATCGGGATTCCAGTGGACTATCCGAATCTGATGCTTCTGTTCAATGTCGTTCAATTATTCCTGCGCGAACTCGGCAAAAGCGAGAATCTGATCCGGATCGTGCCCATGGACATGACCGAGTATTACGGTAAGTCTGTAACAACAACGAGCGAGCACCTTTTGTTCGATTTTATCCACGAACGTGTCAGGTCAGGGCCACCAGTAGGTTCAGCCGTTTAAATAAATCGACAACGAGGCCCGCGGGCGCGCCTCTTCATGAATGTAACATCGCAACGACCCAGTGACAAGTTGTCGGGAGTCGGGACGAAATCGACGAACTACAGCCTCTGGCCATTGAGTTAGGACCACTCACAATTTGTAGCATCTTACATATTTTTAGTGAAATTGGAGGATCTGAACGTAATCTAATAATAAATATCATTAACTACTAAAGTATACATATATTTTCGTTTTTTTACACACATGCAGGTAAAGAAAATTTTCTCAAGGCGATTGGAAATGACTTCCGGTTACAGTTTGAAGGGCTGGACATTTGGACTGCAACAGACGACAAAGAATAATCGTCACATGTATCCTAACCTAGGCCAAGACAGAAAATATAATAATACGAAATAGAAGATGAATATGGTTACATTACACTTGTTACTGATACTTTAGCATAAACACTTAGCATTCACTTGGTCCTCAATTGCAAGCCACGCACTATATAGCTCTCATAACACACTACGTGGCACATCTATAAAACCACCCTAAAATTTTCAATTCTTATGTATTGTGGTTAAAACAAAAGTGTACCAAGTATTCAATGTCTAAAATTCTGTTGAGAAATAACCTTTTTCCAGAAAAGGATAGATTATTTTCCCTAGAAAAAAAATGATTCATAAGGATTGAAAATTTTAGGGTAGTTTTCTAGTTATGGCACGTAGTGTAGATACTCAATATTAATATATAATAAGATATCATGTATACTAATATGTATATAATACTATAATAGTTAATACATTTTGTAAATATATTTCGTTCAGGTCTTTCAATTTCACTAAAAATACGAAATATGTTGAAAATTATTGCGAGTGGTCCTAATTCAATGACGAGGGACTGTATACATATAGTACCAAAACCGATATTATCGTTAGGGCTTTCAGCTCCCCGGCGTCGTTTATCTCCGATCACGACGATTCCCCAGCGTTGAAAATGTGTTTTTCTTCTCCCATTACAGAGTCTCGGACCGGGCCGTCGAACATCGGCAACGTGATCACGCAGATTCTCCTCTGCAAGCAGATCACGCCGAACTTCCACGAGGAGGAGCTGTGCAGCATCAAAAAGGACTCTGAGGAAATTCGAGATATGATCAACGAACTGCAAGAGTTCATGCCCCAGTCGGACGGCGATATAGGTAACACACGTCTTGTATTTTTCACCGGCTATTTTCCGCCTTTTCCACGTTCTCGCCGAACTTTATTCTCCTCTTGTCTTCCAATCCACCCCCTTACCTGCACGCAAATTTTATCCAGGGGGATGTTACTGTTGCTTATCAAAGCGTAAATACATCGCGCGTGCATCTTTTGAATAAATAAAAGCGCCCGACGCGATTCGATGAGACGTACGAGCGTTTCCTGAATGGGACTGTTAACCATTTTATAAATCGACAAGATCGTACAGTTCTATGTTGATTTCCCTCGATACTGCGAAAGGAAACGTGAACACGTTGATCGCTATTCTTATGGGGTTAAATACACTTTTGCTGAAATGTACTATCAAATTTTTTCTTTTTAATCTTTAGACTGTCGAGAGTATCATTTTTGGGATATTGCAAAATATATAATAGTGATTTACGAATTATTTTAGTGCGATTTTTATGGTCTTTAAGGAAATCTATTATTTCGTACCCCTTAATTGAACTTAAACACAATGTCTGAGAAATAAAATAGCCAATCGATTTTAAACTCTTCGTCACACAGACACATACATTGTATGCGTTGGGAAAAGTTCGCGAAGTTTCGCAGTACGTACAATTTCAAAGCAATTATAAGTTTCTTCGAATGTAATCATGTTCGACCACAAAGAGCGCCGCTTGCTTTTCTCTACCCCTTTTCAAGGTTCTGGGTTTGGTTCTAACAATATTCTGTAAACTTATATACTCCGTTAACGATTAAATCTCAAGCATTATTACACGAAATGCATTCACTGCGACAAGGGTTTCTACAGCGTGAACCGTTTCCAAAGGAGTTCTTGGCTTCAGTAAAAAAATAAAGAGATGCTGGTGAATGAAAATTCCCTGATTTGAATGCCAATTTTTCTCCGAAATCTGGAAATTACGTAGAAAATAACTTCAAGCAAGTGTAGTGCACAGCTTTAACAGGATCACACGTTTCCACCAACACGTCCCTTTCTCCCCTGAGTTTTCGTTCTCTTTATTGCCCTCTAACCACCCTTTAAAGATGTCTTGTCCAAAGTGACAAATGAACGACATCAAGCCGCGAAATACCTCTACCAATTACTAGTAATATGATAGCGTATCTAAAGTTTTTCAAGGGCAGAATTAAAAGAAATAAATTTAACATTTCGTAATATTGTATTTAGTAGTATGTTGAAGTAATAAGACTACATCTCGTGTTCAATGTGACTTCCATTAGCAAGAATGCATTTCTGAGAATTTATTTCTGCCCTTGTATAACCCTGAAGACCATAGTATACTACATGGTTGAACTCGTGTTAATGCCCACTTTCATATGATATAAAAAAATATGTAGCATTCCATTTAAAAAAATTAAGGTCACCTTTGTTTCTAGAAAAATATTAAAAATACAACAACTTTAGATAGGCTATCATAGTACTAGTAAAATATACTACAACTTCCTCCTCTTCGGTTTTTTTCTAATGTTTACCATTTACGAAAAAAGCGATGGTACAAATTATCACGAACATCCTGTACATCTCTCTCTAAACACGACTGAATACATCCTCCCGGTCAACAACATTCGGGTAACAAAAGACGTATCGACACATCTCCGGGTAACAACGTGTTAATATCCCTCGATACCGCCCACGAATGCCATACAACAACAAAAAAAAGCCTTCGAGCTTTTGAAGATGCACAGAACCCTAACTCGATCACGCGTTTCCACGAACGCATCTCTTTGTCCTCGAACGCCCACGCCCCTCTCGTCCCCTTTTGTCGCCAGCCGCCTATTCCTCCTCTTCCCGCCCTCTCTATTCAACCACCTTTAATCGGGTTACTCCGTAGGCCAAGGTCTGGATTTCAAAGGAGAACAAGTTTCCCGTCTCCGTCCATCTGGCTTGGTCCTCCTCCACCTTCTTCGCCACCTCCTCCTCCTTCTCCCACGCTCCCGGCGTATTCCCATTGATTCCACGGAACAAACGTATTACCTTCCGACCGGGATAAGGCTCTACTATAGAGTTACCCGGTTCAATTCTCGGCCTGGGATGGCCGCACGCGAGAGGAGAGGTCGGCCGGCTTAATTATCCGTCGATGGAACGGCAGAATTCTCAGACGGACAGATCCTGATGGCGGATCGGACGTTCGCGTGCTTTTACCATCATTGCGAATCGCCGGCACCATCCAGACAGATCTGGGCACGATTTTATTCGAACAATAGATTAGTGAAAAGCAGTAGTATTTTAGATTGTCATCCTGACTTTTAACCCTGCTGTTCTCATCAGGTCTATATGACCAGAAATAAGGTTAGATTTCAGTAGGTATTATATTTTTAAATATTCGCTTTTAATATCCAATGTACTTAAATTTTACATCTATATTTTGTGTATATCCTATTTCTTAAGAACAAAATCATTTCAAAGTTTGAAATAATTTTATTCGAAGGCATACAAACGTGAAGAATAAGTGAGGAGAGTAACAGGGTTAAGTAGTTACCAAGATTAAATATTTTGTTTGCCAAGAGTTTCTATTTATTCAACAAGTAATCTTATTTTATTGTAAAAGTTTGAACTTCCACGTTTAACACTTTTCAACACAAGACCAACAACATCTACTAACTAAACGCATATACTGTCGACGAGTTATGACTTAAAGAACGCAAAAAAAAAACGTGCCTGACTACGTACGGACTTTTCCACTGTGGCAGCCAACTATAAGTGAATCAAGTGAAAATGGCAAAACACTTTTTCTATTTATCTGTCCCTAGATAACAAATTTGCTCATCTCTGCTTCCATATCGCGTATCACCGATGCATGTGTGTCGCGAATCCGTAGGGAATAACTAGGCGAATGTGGGGAGTTGGGTTGGTTACGGAGTACCGTGGAACGAGGTCTGACATTGAACAGGAACCGGGTCAGGGTCGGCCGGAAGTACAGCGGACTTCGCTTCGAGCGTTCCTCGGAAAATTCACGCCTCGAGGGAGAACCCGTCCCCGTTTTTATACGCAAATAAAAATAAGAAAACACACAGGCAAGGGAATCGGACCGACTTCCGGAGAAAACTACCGAATAAGGGAGGATGGTTCTCTGCGGAGTATAGGCTTTGTGCACGTTTCTGTCGACAGAGAACACTACGGGTGTAACGGGGATGGGAATAGGGGGAAACAGAAAGGTTAACGCACCTCGTTGAATCCCGTAGTCGACCCGGAAGAACGTGTCTCCACCGGAGGATAGGCATCGTATCTGAGATTCGACGATTCCATGAAACACACCCTTTCGGTTCGTTGACTGCGTTCCCGGAAATACAGAAACGGAACAGTGTGCATACACACACCAGAGTGAACACGTGAGAAATAAATAATAATATTTATTTCCATGGGATAAAGCCCATTAATTTACAATAAGATTACAGTATATAGGTGACACGACTGCAAACATACATATGTTACGATTTAATTAGAATATTTAGCTTTAGGTTTGGTCCGTTCTATTTCCCGGTAGATTTTAATCTTGAATACTTTAGAGTCCGGATTAAAAAAATCAATTTGGTTGCTATAATTGTTCGTTTGTGTACAGATTTTATTAATTGAGTCACTATTGTTAAATCTGGATGTGTACGGTGAAGGTCTGAAGCGGTGGAGCTCTTACTGGTCGGGCAGGAGTATTGAAGTTTAATAGTGATATGATCTTTGCATTGTTTGTTTGACCGTTAATAATTTTATGTAGAAAACACATGTCCGATACCATTCTGCTTGTTTCAAGCTTATTTATATTAAATTTTTGCATTATTTCATTATAATCGTGATCGCAAGGATGCATTGGTTCACCCTGACTTATATGCTATTAAACAAAAAATTCTATGTTGCGATCTTTCAATTTGTTGTGTGTGTTTCATAAATAGCGTACGCGACGAACGGAAAACGCGAAAGAATATTATTTAACGTTAAACGGGTGGAGGATCGGGTCAAGGACAGAGGGAGAACGCGGTGAATCGAGTGTGTGTTGCCTGGCGTTCCCCCGAACGTGTTTGCCAACGGAAACGAGAATTTCGACGGGACGGTGAAAAAGGGTGGGAAAATTGAGGCCCCCGAGAGAGGGAAATATGCCTCCCCTCGACCGCGAAGCCGATAAAACAATTCGAGCCGCGATCCGCGAAACAATCGCGCTAGCCACACCGACAGCCTGGCGCACTTGTATGTATTGTATACAGTAGGTACGTCGTTTGATCGACTGGGTCTGGAAACCGACGACCGTTCGCGATTTCGGTTCGATGCTTTCTGGATATATGCTAGTTTGTTTGCTTTTTCGACGGTGGGAATAACTGGTATCTAGATCCGCGTCGTTCGGTGCATCGACCGGAAATGATTGTTAAACGCGTTGTCTTCCAGGGGAATTTTGTATGTAGGTGTGAAAAGGTGATAACATGGAACAAGGTAGTATATGTATATAGAACAGGTTGTTATTTCCGTGACTACGGTTGGGATTTATCCGGAAACAGTAGTAACTATAACTATTGGGTCATGTATCTATTGCTCATTTGACGTACTTGCATCTGTATCATCAACTATTTTGCGGTCGTGAGAGCAGTTCGTACGTTTTACGGAAATCGAAACTTTTTTGTGGGGCAACGTTTAATTAATGATTTAACTATGTATCTTTGTTGCGAAATGTAAAACGTTATCTATACTATGTTGGATCGCAATAAGATTAAAGTTCAAAATAACTGGATTGATTATTTGAAAATGTTTCACTGTTTGTTGAGGGTTGTTGGATCATTCTGAAAATGGCGTTGGCGGTAATAATAATGTGGCGAGACATTCGAAAAGTAGAAATCTGGAAAATCGACCCCAGTCTAAGTAAAATGACTCTAAAAATATATCATTCAATTCTTCGTTTCACGAAAAAAAAAAAGAAGGGAAGATGCCAACATTACGCGGTTTTCCCAGGTGGTCACCCATCCAAGTACTAATCGCGCCTTCCGCAGGTTGACTTCAGTGATCGGACGGGAACTGGTGTTCTTCAGCGCAGTATGAACGTTGGCGAAAAAACCATTTGCAAATTGAAATAGATTATACGAGAAACACACATAAATAGTTGACAACTAATTTAACCTATTCACCGTGAAGACATGTTAACTTGTCATTGGAAACTGTTTCTTCATTACGCAAGACGAATTATCTTGCCAGTTAATCTTAACACATTAAGCGCCATTTGTATCCAGATGAATATAATACATTCTGGCCTAATGGGTCACTATATTAGTTTGGATATTGTATTTAACGTGTTAAAAACGTGAAGTATATAGAAGTAAAAATGGACAATTTTTTTCTTCCCTCAGGGGTTTTAGTTGGATAGACACACAATTCAAAAATATATTAAATCTGATCTAATTTTTTCCTGTACTGTATTTCACATGCTATAAATACATAAAATTCGCAGTTTAATTCTAAGAAAGTAAATACATTATACCGAACAGACTATCGAAAATCTACTGTGGATCGAAATGAACGGTTTCTAAATAAAAGGCTGCAAAATTCTAAACGCCAATTTCAAACCAATGTGACAATTTCTACGTAATTTTTCCGTAATACATAATACGCAATCAATATCATTCGTATCCAAAGTGAAGGAGGGTATAATGCACTATGTATTTTACCCGTAAAAAGAATATTCAATCCAGTGTATACTTACGCGAATACCACGATAGTATTCAGTGCTGAAGGGGTTATAAAAGAGTACGGTTCAGTAGAGAGATTCCGAGTGTAGATTCGAGTGTATGCAGGGTAGAACGTTTCGGACTAGAAATCCTCTCGATATTCTATTGCCAAGAGACGGTTACAGTGTTCCGTTATGACCCGGATGTTATCGCTTATAAGCGTTCATTCTATTTCCGTTCCTCGGGACGGAACTCCAGGCGAAAAGTCCCTGAAAATTCCGCTCGTGTTCGCCGTGACGAGATTGACACGAATGACACGCAGTGAAAGTATTATCCTGGCGCAGCAGCCCCGAGGTCAAGGGCGTTCAGCGTTCCAGTTTTACGCCCGAAACATGTGGACGCAAAAGTTTCCGGGAAAATGCGAGCCAGCGCCGACCAGAAAAGGGTTTCGGGTGCGTTCGACACGGAAAAGAAAGGGTGAAACGGGCGGAGGAAAATACGGAGACCGATGATAGAAGAAGAAAAGAAAAGATCTGAGGTACTCGAAGAGACCTGGGCCAGCAGTATCCTGGACAAAAGATATTGTAAGAGGAGAATAAAATAGAAACGGAATTTTCTCCCCTACATAGGTTTCGATTTATGCAAGATAACAATGAGATAAACAGACGTGCACTGCCACGTGAACAGTAACAATGAATACATTAGAACAATCATCTTCGTAAAGAGTCAAGACTAGCACGCATATATGCGAGTGACACGAATAATTTTTCTTTAACCCGGAAATGTAGTGTTGTTCCAATTGTTTAACCCTTTGACTACGAAAGGCGTATACATGTACGTGACGCATTGGTGTCGACTCTAGGCGCGGAACTTTCACAGCTCCGTACGAATACAGCCCCGTTTACGCGTCGCAATTTATCGTGGTCGCGCCGCATCGAAAGAGTTAAGCCCCTCCCTTTTCATCGTGCTTCAAGTCGTATGATTTTCCGGTATTGCTGGTCGTGCAACGGGTATTACGATCCTCAGAGCTTGTCATGGCTAATGACGAGGATGTTTCGCTCGCGACAAACGTTTGCCTCCCCTCTCGTTTCGCTACAATCCGCTCCGACTATTATACGCGCCTTTCGAGCCTTCACAAGAGATCAATGGAAAGTTGGCGTTTCACCGCTTTCTACAACCCCCATTTGATTTTTCCGCCGATGTACAGGGTGTACAAAAATTACTGGCTTCATTGGGTGAATTTAGACCCCTGGATCGGTGGAAATTTGTAAAAAAAAAAACTTGTTGCAAAATTGTGTGTATGTGTGACATTGAAAATTACTGCAATGTACGTCTCGAAGAGAGGCCTGACTCAAGGAACCGTTTGTACCAAAGAGGAACCGATTAGTAGTGGGGATGACGCACTGGTATTTAACCTGTAGCTTTTTGCGAGCATTTATCAATAATTTACTATATTCGTACCCCCGTATTTTCTTGGAACACAAGTTTTAATAACTTCCTCGTTGGAAGTCTGTACCGCATTAATTTTGCTTTCGATTGATGTAAGCTTTATGGAGAAATAACAATTTAGTATAAGAGATACAGGAATTTCAGTAAACTACCACAGAATTCATGTCACAAAAGCATCCAATCGAAATATTACATATCTCGTCGGGTTTGCATTTCAGTCTTGTTCGAAGCAGTACGCATTACGTTGGCACGCAATATCGCATTGCAAGGAACATTTATTGTCAAGAATAAGCCGACACTATCACGGCTTGATGCACGGTACCTATACGTTTCGATGCATCTTACCGGGGAACTTTGAGGCACGGATTTTTCATCGAGAATTCTCTTTAGACGCTCGTCCATCGACGTTAGCAGGCTTACTGTGATCATTAGAGGTGTATACTATCGATCCACAACACGTCGAATTTCGAATACTTTGCTGAAGATTGGCCCGATAGAAAGGAGTGCACAGTGCTGGGAAATGGAACTGGACGTAGGTAAAGATAACATACGCTTTTCGTTTCCTTAGAAATATCGTGTCTCGTGGAGAGCTGTCGCGTTTCTCGTGAGCTTTTTGTGGTATAAAAGAAAAACGAAACTCGAGCAAAGCGTCGAGTACGCGGATGTTTAGATCGAGGGGGACGCGAAAAAGGCAGTTTCGTCGTGCGAAGAAGACTGTTTGGTGCTTCATAGATTATTATTGTAAAATGATCTTGCTAAGGTATTACTACATACACCATGGAAATCAATATTTCGGACACCTGATCGGTACCATAAATACCCATTATTGAAATATATTCGTGAATAAACTTTCGAGCGATACTGCAATACGGTATATTTCCCATAGACCATCCCTTTCGTTTCCTCCTCAATGCTATTTCTCGCGTACGGAACCCTGTGACCAAAAGTTCGAAAAAACGTTCCCGTTGAGTCAACAATACTCGTTCATCACAAATTCCAACAAAAATCTTCGTTGCGTTACGGAGAAAGCAAAAAAGAAAATAAAACAAAAAAGGGAAGAGGACGTTCGCAACATCTCGGTTCCGTCGTCAATCCCGAAACAGTTCGCTTTTCAACGTCGAAGGAAACTCCCTTCCAGCGAAATTACCCTCCATTAACTAATTACACGGCGAAGAGCCAGCCCCCTTTCGGCCGAACAATTTAACGTACTAAGGTCAAACAATTGCGAAATAAATACTTTCCATCCGCGGCGGCCGTTCTCAATGAGTCGTACGCCCGGAGGTCGATTCTCGACATCTGGCAAAATATACAGGATATCGTGTAATTGGTGGTACAACCAGGTAGGAAGTGATTCTACGTGAAAAAAAAAGTCGAAAATGTAGAATATAATTTTTTCATTCAAGGCTTCGTTTTCGAGAAAATCGACTTTGAAGAATAATCCGAAATGCGTGTATTCATCATCACGGTAGTAAGTAGAAACTGAATGCAATGAACAGACGCGCTAGCCAAGTTCTATTCAACTACACGCGATCCAGCAAATTTTCAAGCGTAGTCCTGCGTATTATCAAAATTTCCAAGCGCAGTCCAGCGTGTAATCTTCGAATTTTAAAAAATTACATTGAAAATAAGGTAAACAAAATAACTAGAAACCCCCCGATCTCCTTGGATGGTAGCGCTCATATTAAGAATCTATGATTTAATGGAAGCGTTAGCACACTTTCCGAGGCGACTAATACTCGAGAGTTGAAACGGTAATTCCCACATTTCCAAAAGATTGCGGTGGAACGTACGAGGTGTGACGGTAATGTTTCGAGAGTAATTTTGCTTCCGTCAAAATGGCAACAATCTAAACAATTACTGACCTTTACACAGTTAATAAGATTAAATCATTGTTTGCCAAGTGTCTACTCGTTCAAGAAGAAAATATTGTATCATAAAAATTAGAATTTCCACGGTTTAATCAATTAAAAATGGCGACAAACTTTTTCTACCTTTATCTAGATAATGAATTTGTCCATCTCGGGCTCACGTCCATTTAATCTTGCAAATAGACAGTTTAAGTGAATTATTCTCGAAACTCTACTGTCACACTTCTTCCATGTACTTAACGGAATTCCATTCTCGCGACTGTTTGCAGAGAAGTTCGCGGCCCTGCGGAATCCCGCGATCAGAGGGGCCAGGGGAAATGGACGGCGGGCGTATCCATGGAACCAGATCCACCACAGGCCCATCAGATCCAACAGACAATCGTCCTACTTTCGCGGCGCTCTAAACCTCTTCTGCTGCGCCGCGAGGGCCAACTACGTCTAAGATAAGCCGAATCTTCGTTTTATTCGACCGCCCCCGGTCGAGACTATGCGTGCGTGTCCCATTTCATCATCGACTCGAATCAGTCGACACGTGGTGCGCACAATGTCTGACGAACAGTTCCTGGAATGATCTTTTCGTGAGAAATTCTATTAATGCTTGTAAGCGATAGAGTATTGGATAAGAATGTCTATATAAGAATGTAGTTTTATTCTCCAATCAACGTATACGTGTACTCTCAACTAGTAGCAATAATACTGCTAATCGATTAACGCTCTGATTGCCGATGATGCCACATTAGCGCCTGTTGTGTATTCGATTGATGTAACTGTAATCGCGCAGGTGGCAGCACATCTCCATCCGTGTACTTCAGAAATGCACAAACGGGGGATATGTCTAGTTATATTTTTTTTTAATTCACACGTGAATTATAGTGAACTTTGATTATCCAAAAATACTGATGAAACTTACTCGCGCAACTAGCCAGGCCTGTATAGTGTCGACACACAGATTACGTATTGATTACTGTTTTTGATATACAGGTATTTTATTGTTCAGACGTAAATAATATTGGTTATTGTTTGTCGAGTGTACTTTTCTCGTTATAATTTGTCGGGAACAATCAGAGTTTAACCGTATAAAAAATTGATACAATAGTACCACAACAGCTATAGTACTCATTCAATTCCATAGGAGAACTTTTACGGAGCCTTTAAAAAAAAGAAGGGATTACGTTGGATCTAAGAAACGTATAATTTTGCTAATCCTTAATATTTTGACTCCTTATTAAACCATTCCAGGAACTGTCAGAATAAACTATGTATGTAAATGTCTCAAGTTCAGCGAATGCAAAAGAACTTCTTCGACTTTCCTGATGCTGGACCCGGGGACGCTTAACCAAAATGTGATATGCACCTTTTGCTTGGTCACAATGTCAATCACAATGTCCACAAGTCATTCGCGAGTTTCTCTAGTGAAAGTTTTACATATCACTTTTTTGGCTACGAGGTAAAAGTGTATTTTCTTTGGCAACGCCAGTGTGTATGTGTCGGCACTGTCATGCCTTATGCTTACTGCTTACACGCGGATTGCCTAGTTTCAGGTCTTTTCGGTCTGAGTATTTAATTGTTGATAACTTGAAAACAAAACCTTCAACACATTTTCGTCGTTCTTGATTTTCCTTTTATTTCGACATGTAGAATCATCCCTTGAAAGTTTGTGACATCAACGGCAGAATACCCCGTATTGTGTCGCCATTAACATTATATTAATGTCAATTTCAATAAAACAATGAATGTATCAGTGACGCGAGGTATAGGGGAAATAATTTTAACATCACGAAACCATTCGTAAGTCGAAGTTCAAAACCGAAAGATCAATGCAGCTGGTTCTTGATTTATTAACGAATTCGCTATCACTGTCGCATGTACATTACAAATCGAAATTTTTGAATCAATCTCTGATATCAGGGAAATAGAGATTTCCTGAATAAACAAACAAACCTAAATGAGAGTAACATTCGCATCTTTTATTACTACAATATTATGGCTTTTGACTGAGTACTTCAATGCCTAAATACCTGAATACTTGACTACTTATGTACTTATTCTGCGTCAAAATTCGTTAAAACAAAAAGAAACAAATGATTTTACGTAAAAACAATTCGAATGTGTTGAATAAAATTTGTTCGAATTGGGTTTCGTATTTTAAAAAAAGGTGACTTCGATATCCTCTTGAATTACACTGTATTCAAAAGATTCTCGGAATCGATTTTCTCAAAATAGCATATACACGAGGACTCGTGAACTGATCTTGTACGTCTATGTGGATTCGTGTATATCGTGTCGATGTATGCATGTATGTACTTATAAAAATGTAACTTAACGAAGAAACACACCTGCATTTTCTCTGTTCAGTGACCTGAACAGGGCTAGGAATAAAACACATGATTGTACATCATCTTATGTCTGTGAATTAATAAATGGTTGATGTGTCAAAATACACATTTCTTGAGAAATTTCTGTAAATAACCTGAAACAAAAACTGATTCCTTGGATTAGAAGCTGAAAAAGAACGGGTTAGTAGACATAAAGGACAAGGACAATTATCAGACATTTTTATGAAGTATACAAAAATCAAAAAATGAATTTACTAGAAAAAGTTGTTAAACGAATTAATTTAAACCAAAAATTGAAGAGGACTCTGTGCAAAGATCGAACAAGAATAGATTTCGGGGAATATAAAAATACTAATTTTTTATACAAGTACTTTTTATCGACTCAGTGACTGTACCTTGTTTTGTATCAAAGTAATATATACTTCACTTTTGTGTATTAAAAATTGTGATAAACATTTGTAGAATTATTAAAAATAGAATATTTTCCTTTGTAACATAAGTATTTTTATCAACAGTATTTCCAACGTAAACACTTGGTGCACAATAATCAATAATAATCATTCAATACAATAACAAAAAAATAGAAAAACAGCAGCCACAATAGGGCGCTAAAACAAGTAAAACAAAAGCAGCCACAATAGGGCGCTAAAACAAGTAAAAAAAAGCAGCCACAATAGGGCGCTAAAAAAAGTGAAAAAATAGCAGCCTTGTAAGGCGCTCAATCTGTCCACTCTTTGGATTTCATTTGCTTAAAAGAAAAACCCGTGAGTGGACCATTCGTTTTTCCGTAACACTAATTCATTGAATATGATGTGAAATATCCCGAGAGCAGCCACATAGGCGCTTATCACACGCAACACTAATCATTTGTCAATAAATGACCAGTTTCTCAAAACACGCGAGAGGTGCTTTCTTTGTTCGCCACTCTAATTTATTAAATACATAAATAAAAAAAAACTCCCGTGCACCTTCACCTTACCACAAAGTTGATAAAGTTGGTGCAGCCACCTGGGCTGCTAGTGAACCACATTTTGCAGCTATTTCAGCTGCCTTGTGGTTCTAGTGTGGTTCCAGCATAGTTTTGGGCATTTCATAGATCGTAACACTAAAACAAACCCGGTCAATCCATGTCGCAACACTAATTCAACGAAGAAAAGGACTATTTCAATCAATCAACGTTGTGACTTTAATTCAAATAAGAAGTATATGCTATCGCGCTCATTATCGCAACACTATCTAAAAATACAAAAACTATCTCAAAGCAATCGCGAACTCATCATACACAACACTATCCTTTAAGCAACTAAAAAGATCAACATTTAGAATTCACAAGACTAATGCAACCCGTGATTAAGTCTCATCCGCAACACTAATTCAATCCGCGACTTTGCCCAATATGGCTGGTCGTTGGGCCGATATGACGGCCAATATACAAACTACTACTACAATTACAGGCGAGTACAGTGAACAAATATTTTGTAATGACTCCACATCCGAAGATGCAGAGCCATTCGTTGCTGCCCTCTTGAGTACACAGTTTGTGCTGGGCCTCTTCTTTTCTTCGGCGGTCCGCCCCCTGAAACCCTCATGCTGCTCGGTTGTGGACGACCAACGACTCGAAGAGTCTGTATGATCGTACCACGAGTACAATCGAGCAGGTCGTTCGTTTCGACAATCCTATCTTTCCGGCCGCGACCGCGACGACGACCCCCTTGGGGTTCGCCGAATTTGAAGAATCGAAATCGAAATCGGAAGCAGACAGCATGCTCCGTCTGGTCCAGTTTCGAATCGACGCTACAAATTATCCCGGTAGCAGGACTACCACGCGAAACCTATGCGAGCCTACCCGAGCCTACCCGAACCTACCCGATCTTGTGATAGCCTGCCCCGGCCCCTACCTACTTACAGTCTAATCGTACACATTCACAAATCAAAGAATATGCTACCTACCTACTAACCCTATATTTAAAAAGAATTTGGCAAAAGACAGATTCTCACCAACACACAACACTCCACGGTTCTCAAGCATGCGCCCGGGTGCAAATCAACCGGACACCTAGAGAGGACGTCCCGGGACGCCTCCGACACCCGAACGTGATATTCAACTTGCACACTCTAATGTACGTACCATTTTCCTGAAATCGACTGGCAAAGGCTAGCATCCATTGCGAGAATAGAAAAATTGTTTAAGCAATATACGTATACTTGGTACACTTTATATCGATTACGCGTTAATTTTCTCGTCTGATAGCGAGATACTCTAAACCGGTACATATTCCATGGAAATTTTATTATAAACATTGTATAAAGCAAAGGAATATGTACGACCGATACCGGAAATTGTGCGAAATTGTTCCACGGAACAATTACAGATGAAATGTTAATTGATAGAAATCTAAACGACGCAATTCCACTGCCTGACCACACACACACATAAGTGGAAAATACGTCGTGCACGGTAAGCTAACGCATTGCCAGTCGCATAGACATGTTATTATTATATGCAATCAAGTCATCGTTCCCCGTTGCTCTCGCCCAACCAAGTAGCACCTGGGCACGTGAAAGGGTTCGAGCAACGAACACGGAATAATTATCCTGAAAATCCTAACTAAAATAATTATTACTTTTTGCTCTTCTAACGGGCTACTTCTCTTTGATTCTTTTTCATTGCATTTTGCAATAAAAATGACTCGACTTTATATTAATAAAAATTGAAAATCAAAGATTGACTATTTATTAATATTATAGGATTTAGTTATTAAGACTCTAAGCAAGACTCTGCAATTAGATAAATGACTCTACGTATTGAATAACCCTCGGGCGATCTCGTCGCCAAAGGCAACGTAAGACATCACATAAGTGTAACAGACATGTCACTTTGACATAGAAATCTACCCGTCGCGAAATGCCTTCTTGTACATGGTCTGTAATATCATATTTATCTAGAACTTTACGGTCAAGCTTAATCCAAGTGTACCAAAATACACTATTTAATTTTTATTTCTGTCTTAGAGCAACGTGGTAGTACGTATTTCTGATATAATTCAGTACAAACTGTTAATCTAGAATTGCATATTCTTAATGATGCTTCATGAATATTCTTATTTCTATTAAAACTATCAATGAAGACAAATATATTAATCTCAAAACTTCTTCGCAGTAAACTGATATATTATATACTGTATTCAAATAGTAAATAAATTTAAGTTATATTCATTTAGTTATTTATCTACAAATGATGGTATAACTGTTGAAAATAATAATTAACAGACTAATAGGTGAAATAAAATTTTATTAAATACTAACTGTCATAAAAATTAACTCTAATACCAAAGGTGTCCAAATGCTGCCCACGAGCTACAAGCAATTACAAGCCTCCCCTCGTAGGTTTCCCCGACTACCGACCTTAGATTGACTCGAGAGAGTCAATTCAAGTCCCATAGTCAGAGTACCTCCGAGGGAAAAAATGCTGCTCGCAAGAGTAGATGGACACATCTGGGCCTGCCCTTTTTTAAAGGACAGAATACAAATACTCATTCTTTCTGAGTATATACGTCTACCATACAAATATGTTTGTGGAACACATGCTGGTGAAACACAGTAGTACCTTCCCTGCATTTAACGCTCACACTCCATTAAAGTGGACGTGAGTACACGCCAGTACGTCTCGGTACTCTACCCGTGTACGTAACCGTATGCGTTCTTTGCCATTGGCAACGAAAGCACCGGCCACGATAACTGGAAATCGCAATGCACTTTTCAATGGTCATACATGCACAACGTGTTAAATTGTTCCATAACACGCGGTTTTTCACTAGGTCGTGCATATCGATACACAGGTGACATAACTTAATACGTCTTCTTTTTATGCACCGATACTTTATCGCGATTCCCAGTACACGTGTTCCATTATTTCATGGAACTTGCAAATACGAATGATACCTTTGTGTCTCGCGACACTGGTTCCGGTATATGAAACGTGCTGTCGCGTCTCGTGGTATTGCGCTAACTACTATAACATTCTCATATGAGATGGCACCACCACGTTTTCCCCTCTATTTTAAACATACCGGTGTGGTTTCCGTTCTTTCTACTCTATGTCCGAATTTACCGTCCACATTTATTTCATCCATTAATGAGTTGAATATTACTTTTTTATTATACCGTTATTTATAGACCATTGTGAATTTATTGTACATTCTACATTCTGTAATTTGCCTTATGTAGATCGTAATTCATTCTATATTCATAAATGACATCAGACGACTGTATTGAAATGTCTGCAATGAAATTATTGCACACATCACCATCAAATTACTGCACTTTCTAGTGAAATGAATAACATACTACCATGTTCTCGCTATATACTCAATTAATAAATAAATGCCAATTGTTTAAACAATAGAACGATCTGTCTTAAAAATATCCAAGATCAATATCTCGTGTGCATAGGCAATGCAATTTCGTTTACACCATGATCGTCTGTATACCAAACATGTAAAATTTAACTCATAAATATACTTTGAACACAAAACATTTATGAATTGTATTACTAATGATATACGCGGCGTACAAGAAGACCCTAACCTAACTAAAAAACACAACAGATCAAACACTGTTCGCGGATATGCAATTATACGAACACATATCCACATTCACTGTACTCGCCAAAAGCACGTATACAACCAGTCGCCCGTGTCGCTTCGGACCTATCGTCCTACGACATGATTGGGGACTAGAGGAATAAAAACATGCAGACTCACCAGACGACTGAAGAGTTTCGTATATGACTCGAAGAATCTGAAGAAATGGTGTAGTTTCGCCCGAAGACATCCTCTGCAGTGGTCGGTGATGCAGCATCTGATTAATCTGAAAAAAGGGAACGGAACTCATTATAACCTCTTCTCCAAATCCTAACTGTTTCAGTTGAACTGTGTAAGTAATAAAATACAAAGATACTTACTATCTCTATTAGTAGAGCTTCGCCCAAAAATATCCTCTTCAGTGATGCACTGACTCTACTTTCGCGAACGAGCATTTTCAAATAGAAAAAAAAAGTACAATAAATGACTATCGCGACCGTAGATTCCAGCCAGCGAAAAAAGTGACTCTAGTTTCACGACTCAAAAAGCAGTGTCCCGACACTTTGAAAGTAATTGATAATATGCAACAAACACTGACTCTAGTTTCGCGAGGTTCTAACATCTCCGGTGAGATTCTACTCGGAGCCAGTTCGCTCCGCATAAACAGAAAAAACTTCTACGATGTAAACAAACACTGACTCGACTCGACCGCCTTGCGCGCGGCCACTAAATACCCTGAAAAAATGAAATATAATACAGTACATGTGCACCGGCCTATCCTTTTTATTTTTATATTCTACCAAGTGTTTATTCAGAAAATACTGATTCAATGATAAATATGAACCTAAATATGCAATGTGAGTTTAACTACGAAAAGGTATTAGGTCTACCGAAATGTTCTGTCCGACAATGTCATTTCACGTTTCAACACGTTTGAACGTGTTCGTTTGAAACAAATATGGCTGCCTCTTTTTAAGTGAAATATTTATCAAAAGAATTCTTGTTCGATTTTAGCACGCAGTAAATCACGAAATCGTGATCATGCGTATGGTCAAAAACAATCGAAATACAACAAAATAGAAATATGCAATGGAGTGTAGACAATTTGTTATAATACATTACCAGAATTCACCAATTTCCCGCCAAATTGCGTCTAATGGGAGATTCAACTGTCATGGCATCAGTGGCGCGTTCTTTCTAGCCGAAATTCTGAAACAGAAAATAAATATTAATACCAAGTAATTATAGTAAATGAACAATGACTGAGTCACAACGAAACAATTATTGACTCGTGGAGGGTCGCCAGAGATTGCAAATTGAACAAAAACTGCGTAAATACTAATTGATATCAGAGGGAGACCAGAAATCGCGAAACCGATACGCTTTATCCATCAATACCAAGTTAATTTACGATTATTCACACTGAATTGAATAGTTATTAAACGAAAATAACGGTAGAGTGCTAACGAAAATACTAATAACATAAATGATTTAAAGTAAAAGGTAATAATACTTACTTCGCCACGACTGAGATCACTGCACGTCTTATCACTCCAGCTTCCCCGAGACGAATGACAGTTAGCCCGCCTAGCCCTATGATTGGCTACATTCAGTCTATTCGATTATGTTACAAGGTTCGTGATTGGTGGATCGGCAGGTGAAGATAGGTTCCCTTCCTCCCCACTCCACTTTCTATTTCAACGAAGTAAAATATTCACCACCATATTATAATTCAATTTTTTTTTTCTTGCGTGTACTCGAGATTAATTCAGTGGGGAATGACTCTCATAAAACGGAAAAAAACAGAAACACAAGTACGATTTATCGGAAATGTAGTTTTATAGTACTTATGTAGTCCCTTGGTTGCAAGCAATCTGAGAGCCACTGGTTTTGTGCATTTGTTTAGCCAATTTTTAAAAATTCACATTCCAATTAGTCTACGATTAATAAAAGAATTCAACTGTGTACACACCACGGCCTATCTCCGAAAATGTTTTACTCCAATTCGTTTTATATGGAAAACATTAATTACGCTGCCGTCTTCTCGAAGTTTTGAAACCTACAAACTACGATGCTTTCCTAGCGCCATCTATAATAAATGCGTCCCGCCAATCTGAGAATGGCGCCAAAATTTATAAAATCTTGACAGATATATATTACATACCTATAATTTTATTTCACTACGACTTTGTACTAAATAAAAATATATGATATTATTATTCCCATCACTAGAAGTTATACAAAATTTTGTAAAGTGGTAAAAATTACTTTTTATATTATCTAATTTGGTGAATATGTTACTACGTGATACATATATGCACATATATATATATCTCATGAAAGAACTGTAGGTAGCCCAGAACCTTGAGCTAATAAGCTTGAACAAAGATAAATTAAATTTAGACGAATTACTTTAAAATAAAATAAAGTCAATCATTTACAGTGTAAAAGAACCTATTCATTATGTTTTCTAATCGTATATATTTGACTTCCTCGGACGGTAGATGGTACAAATATGTTACTATGAATCCGTTGTAAGAAAATCCCTAGCAGACAACACGAGCGCACTCATGGCAACTCATGGCTGACGTTTCAGTCACTAACAGTCACTAATAAACATAAACCGTCAATGGGATGTTTATCTTATATGTAGGTACATTATATATAAATGATGCACTTTTATGCGTCATAAATGCCGTTTTATACATGCACTCTATAACAGGTTTAAAATATTTCTATGTTTAATTGTAACAAAGCAACGCCGGAATATATCACACTGTGCCATTAGACCTTGAATTACAAAAGTAATGTTAGAATATAATAGGATAAAAAATATGTAAGTTAAAAAGTATTTAAATGAGCTGCAGACTTTATGCATGTGTAGCATATATATTCAATGTGTAAATAACAGAGTATCCTGTAATGAGCATAAATTGCTAATCCTGGAAACTATTTTGGTTTATTTGAAATATTCTTTCACCATATGGAAGGCACAAATTATATGTTAATACTTGTGTTTTTTCTGCAGAATATTATTGTATATTATAAGAAAGTATCAGTAAAATGGCTGAGAAAGGAATGGTGGGAAACATTCCAATTGAATGCTTGACTGGAGAACCAGCAGTAGTTTGGTCTGGTTGGCGTACATTAGGAGATAGAGAGCTTGTTAGAGAAGCATCTGCGAAGGGCACTCACATAAATCTTGCATACAAGTGTATAGCCCACAGGCGAAATTGTTCCATTGAGGATGCTAAACATTATTTTAATAAGGAAGTGGAACTCTGGACTACAGAACTCTTAAAGAAACGTCAAATTTATAGGGCTTCTCATATTTTACAAAACATGGTATATTTAACTTACCAATAGAAGTCATACATTTATAATTTGATGTTAATATGTTCCTTTTTATCATAGAAAAAGAATCCGGTGGAATATATATTTGAAGTTTGCACAAATTCTAAAGATTCAACATTAAGGAACTATTTATCAGAGTATTTAATAAGTGTGGCACATTTTGAAGCTGAGCATATTGATTCATTGAATATATTAAAATATATTATACAATTTGAAGAAAAATATATGTAAGTTTCTTTGTATGTGGTGAGTTTAAGAAAGAAAATTAACAAATATATGGTTTTTAGGATACAAGATGGTTTAAGCTCAGTTCTTTGTATAGAAAATATTATAAAATTACCAGAAAGGATAAAAGAAGCATTGTGTACAGAATTATATTTTTCTATAAACGAATGCACTCTCTTAAAAAATATAACTAATATTGTGTTATGGGATTATTTATTATCAAATAATAAAATTGAAATGATTAGGTTTTGGATTGATTCTTATTATAGTGGTAATGCAATTAAAGAGTCAAATGATATCAATGAAGAATACAAGTTATTGTTTGCTTCCACAAATATTGCACCAGATATGATTGAAAATATTGATTCTTCGAATGCCAGTAATCTTGTAAAAGATCTGGTTAAGAATCATCTATGTAGGTATGTCTTTCTCTAGAGCATACTAAAATATTATAATGTGTATACAAATACATTTCTATGCACTTGTTTATTAATACAATGTATGAACATCTTAGGTATGGAATATTTGTGGAAAAAGAAAAACAGGATATAAAATTAACATTAGCGCGCATCTGTGGCAGCGCAATGACGCTATCAGAATTTGACACAGTATTGTCACGTGAAACGTGCAATATTAATAAGACTGAATTTTTGCAAACAGTCGATAAGGAACTGTGCCTTGCTCATTGTTTGAATGATACTTCTACTCAACAGGATAGAATTAAAGTTGAAAATCTATTAGATACATTAACGAAAATGTGTAATAGCCAAGAGCAGTGTGAAGATACATTAATAGAAGGCATTTTTGGAACAATTCATTACCTTTCTGATGATATGAACGAATTTTTGAAACAAAATTATCTGATTGTTTTAGTACTAATATTTTTAAATTTATCTAAAGGAAATGTGGCCGACATTCACAACACAAATAATGAAATGAAAGAAAGTGTACTCAAAAACATATTTAAAGGTACAGATAATTTACAACTGGGCGCTTATAGCATTTCCAATGAAATTCTTCAAAGTACATTGAAACATGTACCAATTCTTCAGCACATTATTGAAAATACACCAAAGAAAGAGGCCACAATGTATGAATTATTAGATGGTTATAAAAATTTAAATGTAAAACAGTTACTTAAGTGGCGCTTCAATAATGAGCCAATGCCTCACTTCTCCAGTGAAACACTTGTTAAAAAATACGGACATGTAGAAGCACTAACGTATGAATATTACTTAAAAGAAGCCCGTCCAAACATGGCTATACTTAGTTTAAAACATTCCCAAAGAAAGTTAGTAAAAGGTGTATCTTCTAGAAGGTAAAAAACCATGTTATAATTGATATCTTTATTGTTTAGACACATATATTACATACTTCAAAAAAACTGATTTTAGGAAACAAAAAGCAAGTCTTTATGCACATATTCTTGCTCTACGAAATTTAGATAAACCAGACATAGTTTGTGGTTGCATTTCTTTTATTGAAATGCTAAGTATTAATTCAGAAAATTTAAGACTTCATGTAACAGCAGCAAATTATGTACAAAAAGAAGTCAATGTACCCATTGGTAAATTAATACATCTTCTTTAATCAATACAAAACCTGGTATATTTATTAACATTTGCATTCTTTAATTTATAGGAAATTTATTAGAGAGCATAATATATAAAAATGAAAATGATCTAAACACTGTAATGACCTATCTTGAAAATAGTTTTCAAAAGAATATATATGAAAATTTCATTGAAGATAGTCAGCAAGTTATAAACATGCTGAAAATATGGGATATTATTGTACGATTTGCAAAAAGTCACAATTTCCCTTTACCAACGAGCTTATTAAAATTTTTAGCCAACCAAAACCACTGGTTCGAATTTCTTTTAGTTTGTCAGCTTTTTGCTTATCCCTTGAATCAGGTACTAGTTTTATATTTAAGTTGACCCATTATTAAACATAAAGAAGTGAGAATATCCTATTATTTTAGGTATTAGAAATTACTAAACTCTTTGAAGATCCAATTATGAAAGAACACTTGCTAACTTGTTTAAATAATACACAAATTACCAAAACACAATCAGCTGTTCATAGTGATCAAAAATTGAAGTCACGAGATGTCAGACAGTCGCTGTATTGTAAAATTGGGGTTAAACAAAGTGTAAGTAACAAATGAAAAGTACAGGGGAGAAAAGATGAGTGTTTTAAATATTGAAGATCTACAACATCAAATATTATGTAATTTTTTCTGTTGAAGTTACTAAATACAGAAATGAATTTCACTTTGCTAAAGGACTCTCATCCTCTTTTCTCCTGTATTCAAATGCCATGTATGTCTAATAGATTCCTTAAAGCATTTGAAATTAATTGTAATATTGTTAAAAAGCAGGGATCTCCACTTTCTGATTCACCAACATCGACAGACTCAGCAAGCATTTCTGATTCTTGCAGTACATTAGAATATCCCATAAATGACAGTGTTTATTCGGTAGATGATGACTTATGGTTGATTATTCTAAAGTGCCATCAAAGTCCAGATCCACCTGGTGCACTAATAAATGCATCTCGACTAACATCAAGACCTTTTCTCACCGTTTTAGCAAGTTGTTATGAGGTATTTTGGTTACCCTATTTTTATCAATTGTGCCTATTTCTTTTACTAATACTATTGACAAACCAATGTACTATTGAAAATCGATTTCAGCCATCATCAACAGCAGCCTATTCTTATTCATGGATGATAATATCTGCTGCAGATGAAAGTATCATGTTTGATTATAAGGACTGCTTAGAACAGCAAATATGGACGGCGAATCAAGTTTGTAATTTATTAAACGAAATGGTGACTTGTGGATACATTGGTACCCTGAATAGAGCTTACAAAATATTTATGCCTGTACGTACAGTTTACATAACAATAGCATTGTAGAATACTTCATGAACTTTGTTATATTGCAGGAGAGTCCATTCAATGAATTTTTCGAATTCCTTCTACAGTCTGCAGTTTATGGAGACTTCAAAGAGTCTCTACAGAATTTATCGAAATTCAAGATGCAATGTTTGAACCTCAAATGCAATGTACGGTATAACATTCTTAAAATATTTCACCTTTTGATAGTTTCTGTTTAGAATCACAAAATATTGAAATTACAGAAAACTTTAGATTGGGACTGTTCAGATGGCTCGTACTTAAACAACTTATACTGGTTTACAATTGTTGCCATTAAGTGTGTTATTGCAATACTTGCGTGTGGCTTTAAAAGCACGCATTTACAAATCAAATTCCTTGAAACATTGGTAAAATGTAATTTTTATGCAGACTTCCAAGCAAACTTATGTATGTCAGTGTTTCACTAATTACAATGTTCGCAATAAAGAACATTAATTTGTTAACGATTTATTCATACATTCCAGTTCAAAGTTTGTTGCAAATTACAAAAATTCTTCAAAACACTAATGTTACGTTCAACTTTGCGGATTTCACGGTATCAGATGACATGTTTGAATTTAATAGAGAAATTCAGAGATGCATCAAAGATTTGTTACAAGCAGAAAACTATGCTAATGCATTGGAATTGTCAAATGTAGCAGGTTTGAATTCATCCGACATTATCTTAGCCCAGGTAGTGTATTAATATTTGTTGATGTTGTTCATTTGCCACTTTTTAATATAATATTATTTTCAGTATCGATATAAATTTAAATGTATGCAAAGTAATGATAAATTTGATAATGCATTTTGGAACGAATGTGCACTAAATTTCAAGAAATACAAAGTTCTACATGAGAAAGCTACTGAATTTTTTGTTGAACATGCTGAAAAAGTTGCTTCTCACCACAAAAGGTATACATTCTCTCAGACAGTTTTTTTTATACTTCTTTCGGGTACAAAAATCGTCTCGTGGCTTTTGCAGGTATGAAATATTACGTTTGGCTTTTGAGACATTGAAGAATGTTGATACAGAACAAGAAACTGTGAACACACTAGAAATGGCGATGTGGAAATCGTGTATATTAGCAGACCCTGAAAATATACAATTAGATAGCGGACCTTACATTTTCAATAAACTAAAGACGGAATTGTTATCAGGACTGGATAAATTGAAATTTAGTTGTACATTAAGTGATCCGTCTGAAAAAGATGCTGCTGAAAGATTACTCAACAAATTAATTGACTTAGGTGAACTACATACTGCATTGAGAATTAGTACCATTTTCAATTACAAACATAAGGTATGTTACATTAAATACTAATTAATATAATTTAACAACTTTGCGTACAGACATTATCGGAAATATTTTCTTGCGCATAGGATTTACACCTTCTAATGTTATGTTTGAGCTTGGCTGAAGGTGAAATCTCACCAAATGAATTAACTTTCGAAGAAACAAGTCTTCTGAAGGAAGGAAATAAGAATAAACAACAAAAATATAGTGCTTTAAAAAATCGTGGTTTGCAAAGATTGTCTTCCTCTTCTTCATGTAGGTTTCATATTTACTTTCTTATACAAATGAACATAATGGGTATTCATTTATTATATATTCTTTCATCTAGTGACTACTGCAACGAACTTGAATGAAATAAGCAAAACAAAGGACGCGAACGTTCACAAAGTGCAAATGGAAAGTTTATCAATTTTACAAACAATATTCAAAACCTTAAAACATGGTCAAGACATATGTCTAAGAATCGTATTATATTACAAACTGGCAATGCAGTTAGGAAGAAGTTACCATTTTTTATTAGTATTAAATGATCCCGTTCAATTTTTACAAGAGGTAACAGAGAGTAACATTGAGAATAAGTCAGAAGTATTTCATGACATAATTACTGCATACAAAATGAATAATGATACTGTAGTAACATTTTTAACTGAAAATATCACAGTAAATATTATACGTGCCATAGAAGGTACATAACAACTTAAACATAAGCCCTCTATGAATTTATTATAAGAGTCTGCCTTTTACAGATGGACAAGAAGATAATATTTGCCTTTGGGGTTATTCTTTAAATTCGAATTTCCGTATAATTATGGAATTATGCAATGATGTCTCACTTCTTGGTGGTCAGCTTTTAAAAAGGGCAAGCAAATTATTTGGACAATCTCACGGTGAAAAAACAAATGGTATTACAATAAACGTCATTCCATACTTATTATATTTATGTTTCACAACATTATTCCTCCTTATTCAGTATCCACTTTGAAGACAATTGTAGAATTATTAATACGATCTCATGATTGTTTTACAACTTCCTGTAACATGGAGGGAATAGCATCAGTATTACGAAAATGTCAGAATCTTGTAAATGTTTTGCAAAATCTCAAATTATGGACATTATTGGTACGTCGTCAATATACTATAATAAAAAATTAAAGTATTTACTGTATACTAACATACCATTTTATTCTAGGTGCGACTTGTAACTGGCGTCGGTCGTTTCACAGAAATGAATTACATATTTCAAATTTTAAAAGAGAATGATCACTTTGAATTCTTACTTGGAAAAGGATTAGATAAGGTTCCCAACATGCTGCTACTATAAAAGCTCGTATACATATACAGTAAAATACAGTATAAAATACATTACAGGTACCTGGACTGAAAATGGCACTTTTGGAGTTTTTGAAACGGAATTGTCCTGAAAACAAGGATCTTTTTACTTTGGTAGCCTTACATTTTCGATTGTATCATGAAATCGCACTGATGTGGGAAAATGAAGCGAAAAATATAATCAAAATATTAGTATCGGATGCAACAAAGAATCATGGAAAACTGCAGAGCACTGCTCAACATGAAATCAAGTTAACGAAAACGGACCATGTTCTGGAGCAACTGCAGTCAGCTGTCTCCAGTTTCACTCATGCAACACAATACTATTTAAAGGTAAATTTATGTATAGGGTGAGAAATATCTCGAATATTTTAGGAAATATTCAATTATTACGCTCTATGCGTCTCAGCTTATACGTTATTAGACAAGAAAACAATTCTGTATTGCGATAAATCAATAATATATATTTGTACAGGCCAACACACTAAATCTTGCTAGTCGGTGTTCGGATCAAGCACAACTAGTTGCCTTCCAACTTTCTTTGTTTACCATAGTGTTTAATAATCAACAAGTAATCTGTATTCTTAATTTAAAATCTGAAGATGTTGACAGAATATTATGCCATACTTTAAGTTTCTCTCAAGCCCTTATCGTTATAAACGCATACAATTATCACGTGGATTGGGCTAATGTAATATATAATCATTGTATATTGAACGTAAATGCAAAATACTTAAAAGATTTTATAGCTGTCAAAAAGCTAACTCCTAATCTAGTACAAGATTGTGCACGTAGGTAAGTTGCGATTTAAAGAATTATTTTAAAAGTAATTTATCGTGTATAATAATGTTTTGTCAACTAATTTTCATTCGCTACAGGTACAGATTGGAGAAAAGCATTACTCATGAGATGACACACAATATGAAAATGTTAGTGTCTGAAGTATCAGATGTAGAATGTAAATATATGTTGGCAAGCCAATTAGGATTTAAGGATATTGTAGAGTCAATGCTCAATAATCCTATAATAGGTGCATACCTCAAAGATACTGTATGGAAAAAGGGGTATAATGTTACCTGAACGTTTAACATTCCAATACCTATGCATCTTACAAAACACTTCAATGAATTCAGGTTTTCATATATATATACACATGACAGGAAATTTCTCCAATAACAAATAAATGTTACAAATGTATATATGCTCTTTTATTTTTGTATAAATAAATATTTTTCTATATTACACTTTCTGTCTTGAATTCATCTATAATCTATAATATGTTGTGTGTATAATACTTCGATATTACAAATACAAATTTTCATTTATTTAAAAAAAGAACCCACTTCTAGTGCTTCATACTGTAGATGAAAAAACTGATAATCAATTACTAACTATGACATACGAAAATACGCGCCACAAAAAGATAAATAAACGTAACAATTCCGAAATAGTGGCAGTTTTTAAATTGGACGCATATATTAGGAAATACGAAAAAAAATGTGGAAAGATATCATCATTAAAAGTATTATCAAAGAAACAACTAAAATTAGTAAAACTCGCACATGAATTGACAGAAGCTATTGAAAACGAGGAGATTAACAGAGACATGGGTATGAATTTGTGGGTTCTTGCAATAGTGTATAAACAGTTCATAATTTTATTATTTATATTGTAGCATTTCAAATACTGAAAGCATCTAACAAATCGATAAAGGAAACAATATCTAAATTACAAGATTCGATGAAAATGTATAAAGAAAGCGTAAGATCGGAAATTGCAAAGCTAGACAGCTTAAATACAGATCGTCTTTTAAATATTAATTACATATACATATAGTTTATTAATGTACATTATAAATTATATATGATAATTAGTAATATTGTCAATACACAGCTAAAATTTTATAAGTCCACTTCATTGTATAACTCTAAAACACAACACACCACATTTCACATACAAGTTTTAATTATAAAAATGAACTTAATTTAAAATATTTTATTTAGTCGCTTCAAAATTTCCTTAAAATAATATCTCATTAAAAGTGTTAAATCGACTAGAGATTCATTTTATGACTTTATTTTACAATAAGGCAGTCTATGATTATTGTTATTTGCATTACAGTGCAAGTAACAATAGTACATCTTTATATTCATTATTTAACATTAAAAAAATATTGAAAGTATAAAAAAATAATATCAAGTAAAACGTATAAACACATTATATTTAAATACTATTAGTGTTGCACACATTTCTGAATTATATACACATACAAATTTCCGATTTTGTTTATCTACATTTTATAATTTACAAAAATCATTGCATTTCGTCGATACGAAATACGATAGAAACGATATTATAAATTTATAATTTTTTCTTAGACTTCTTTACATTTATATTTGGTCGACGTTTTAGGCAATTCGTGTTCTGATCACACGTGTCAACTTTCCTCTTTATACTTGCAGTCTCTAATATCGGATTATTTAATTCTCTTTGCAAATTTTCAGCCACATGAAAATCGCAATGTTCAGTATATTTCGATAGAGGTATCATTTGATAGCATTGTAAACATTGCTTAGAAGGGAAGTCTGCAGTGTTAGACGAATCTCGTTTCACTAGAAATGTATAAATACCTTTGCTCTGTTGCCCTTTAGATGTATTAGTTTTAGATTTACTTTTCACCTTTGAATTTTTTAGTAAAGTGTCCTTAGTAGTCTCTTTACGTTGTGGTTTCAGGTATAATTTTGCTTCTTCTTGTAGCTCCATAGGTAACAAAGCAAGTATACCGGGATCAATATCGCCTAAATTAGGAAATATATCTTGCAATTTTGTACGAGTAGTACATTGCGTAACGATACCTTTACTATCTTCACGGGTATATATACTGGAGGAAGGTTGCTCCCTTTCAATTACTTCACTATCATCTTTAATATCTGCGACTGGTTCAATATAGTCGATTTGAATATTAGAATCAGTACAGTCATGTGTCTTAAAATCAGTATTTCTATCATTTATGAGTATTGCCCTTCCCAAAACATAATTTTTTTCAGATCCATCTTCCTGTATACGATTTTCATTTAAATTATCGCAATTGATGTTACTATCTTTATCGTCATTTAATTTTATTAATGCAGTTTTAACTACACATGTGTCTTTCGATGTACCTTCTTTTGGATTAAGAATATTCATAAAGAAAGATTCCTTAAATTCACTTTGACCCAAAGATTCATTTACATTTGAATTACCCTGTTGCCTCTCGTAAAGTGTCTTTCTCTTATTTCGTTCATTTAATGACTCAATTAGATTATTTAATCTTCGTGAGGTAGGCGACGAATCTGTCTTCATATCGGTCATTCGTTCATTTAATTTTGAGTTATTTATAGAACCTTTTTTAACATTCTTTACTTTGCTCTTCGATGTATTTGTCGTTTCACAATCATTAACATTCGACGTAATAATCTTATTTATGTTTATATTATCCATTTTCGTAGCACTATTATTATTCGACAATTGAATACACTCCATCTTGGACACTTCCATTTGACCGCATGTTTTCTCCCGATGTTCAGATTTACCTGGTTTAAAAAAATTCATAAAAGTTTCTCTGCCCTTGGCTTGTACAAATTTACCAGCCGATACTCCTAAATATGCAATCGGACAATGTGTACACTTAGATACAATCTCTACGCAACGATCTGCCATTTTTTCAGGCTTGTACGAAGTTAAGGTACATGAACGAGATTGGGATACAGTAGTTTTGTTCTGATAATATTGATAGCATATCGTCAGCAATGTTGCGCGTCGTTCGTTCTCTTCATGATCTTGTTCAAGACGTTCGCAGACTTCTGCCGACAATTCACCAGCCCAATGTTTCAGCTACAAATCACACCATGTTTTTCACATTATATGTGTACATATTTACAGACAGTGAGTAAAGGAAGTATTTGCACAAAACCACTTTTCTACAATAATTCTTTAAATTTCTAAATTATGCAAATAATATATTTCTTGTTATTATGTACATATATCTTATTCCATTCAATATATTTACTATAGAAGTTTTATTTAAACTTTATTCTTTCACTTACAACATCTATTGAAGTAATAGCTTGTTTCCCTGGAAATTTTTTACACGCACCAATTGACTTTGACACAAGTCGCATAGTAACAGGCTCATTATCTATACCTCGCGCAATATTGTACAACCACGACCTAAACATACATACTTATAATTATAGTGTCGACTTAAAAACGCCAAAACAAATGGTGTAACATACCCTGTTTTCTCGTCAAAACGTTTCTGCAAATATTGCAATGAGTATTGCAATAAGTCACCCATAACATTACAATTAAGCGATTCAACAATAACATCTCCAAACTTTCCACCAAGATTCCTAACTTTTTTAATTGGTAATGTAGAATAAAGTGTGGATACTGTACTTGGAGGTAATATTGTTTGACGGTTCGGTTTATGTAATCCACATGCTAATTTGGCTAATATCTAAGGACATACAATACATGTATAACACATTTCTTTAATATATGAAAGAGTTAATATAACATTTCACCTTATTTTGCGCTATGCCTGCAGAGCATTTATATCCTGTCTTTGCAAATATGTCAGATCTCAATTCCTCAACTATTGCACCAGCTACAGCAAGTTTTTGAGCGTTTACATCTTCAACTTCCTCAAAAACATTTGATATCCAACTTTTTGTACCTTCGCTTCTTTCTTCTGAAATTTTGCAATGTAATTAAAACAAATACAAATTGTTCTGTATAATCATTTTTCCCTTACCCTCGTCATTTTTTCCAATTTCCGAATATCCTACAACAAATGTATTACAGAGATGTGTTATTAAATCTTCAGTAGTAATAGAATTTGTAGACATTCTTTTATCAACAATATCAGTGATGTCTAAATATGCTTCATCTACACTAGCTCGTTCTATTATATTGCAATGTTTTCTTAAAACATCAATAACATCACGACCAGCACTTCTATACCTGTTTAAATAATTAGAAGTTTAAGATAAGAGTGATGCATTTCTTCTCTGCTAAGAGCCATATGATCCCCACCATCAGCCAATCCAGTCTTCTACTATTAATTAGTCCAATACATGTAGCGTGCAAGTGGTCACTTCACCAGCCATCCCGTTTAAAGGACCATAATTGCATTAACACATTTGACACCGATGACTCAACATGTAAGTCATATACAGACACGATGTAAACATTACCAGTTTCTGGGAATAGTCTTGTAATAATATGTCGGTCTCGAATGTGTTAAATACATTCAATAAAAGATTATATTGAAACTCAACATACCTTGATGTATCTGATTTCCCACGAAGACATGGTACACTAGCTAAAATAAGATCCGGACATTTTTCTTTAGCCTCTTCACCTCTCATATGCCTTGTAACACCATATTCTCTTGCTTCATAGTTAACCGCAATTATTCTAATTCAAAAATATAGTATGCCATAGTGCTTATTAACATTTGTATTAATATAAAATAATATGAAAGTTACATCTATTGGACAGAACTAGAAGCCTGATTCTTTAGTTGTACCTTGCATTATTGTATACAGAGCCTTACCCTCCTAGTTGCCACTGATTATATTGTACAACAGCAAGTGGTTTCCCATTATATTCTGGTTGAAGTTTCGTTTCTACTTGACAGAAAAAACAATCCATGTCGATTAAGACGACAATCCTATTATTACTTGAACTTGCCATTTTAAAATTGATCCTTATAGTAGCCAAACTTGTCAAGACAGATTAAGAATATTCGTGGTTTTCTTTCATTTTTATTTTACATAAATTACCTAGACAAACGAATTTTTTCTACCTCTGTTTGCCCATACATTATTTGACTCTTATTGGAAGAACACCGCGGTATAAGCATAAAATTTATACATAATGGGATAAATACTTTTCAGGTTAGTAAATAAACAGAAACGTCGCAGCCCGCGGTTTTTCAAAAAGACCACGAATTCTGACTTACAACTAGTTTGCCAACCCTAATTGACCCTAATCTTACTTTCGTTAAGGCACCGACTAGATATAAGATAGACCTATCATCTTATGGGACTTCGTGTCTCATGTTCTGAAATACCGATAATGTAAAAAGTCAGGGATTTTCTGTTGCCCTCATTGTGTGTTCATTTGTGCTAATAATATCAGAATTCCTGCTTTATCGGTAACGTCGGGTATTAACATTAAAATGGTAGCAGGGTCATGTAGCCCTATGAATGTAGGACAGAAAAAAGCATTGGATGATGGGTCTATTCTATAACTAGTCGGTGGTTAAGGTACCATTTACAGCAAAATGTGCAAATGAATAGCAATAGATGTAGGACCACATCTTTTAGGTGTTCTATTCTTTAGTACTTTAGACACTAATTATGGTGAATTATGCAAAATGCAGAAAATGTATATATTACTCCTTTTGATAGTTGATGAAATTTTTAGAACAATTCAATCATTCTGTTTACAACTTTGTCATATTTGCGAGGAAAAAGAGCTAAAAAATAGTATATAGCACAGCGACAAGTTATACTAGCGTATATCATAATTACTGTCAATCATCTGTCAATACACCAATGAGTAACATGGCATAAGAGTGAACTCTCATGTCGGCTGGTAATTCTGAAATTATTGAAGTGGAATGGACAATTATTAGCATCGATGTAACCACTATTTAGCAACTTCACCTTGCTTCACTGGCTTCACCTATGAACAGCAAAGGAGAAAACTTCGCATTAAACGAATCGAAGAGTAAAGAATCATCTATGTTGCGACTAATCAACAATATGATAAATAAAAATTGAACATTAACCGTTTTCAGAAACGTTCTTCGGACACGCTTCGTTCTGATTATTATATTTTGCATGTGTTAGCCGTTAAATTTACGAACATTAAATAATTTATGAATTATTGAAAATACAGTTTACAGATGTCTGTCAAATTTCGGAACACCTCAATTGCATCAAATACAATATAAACGCGTTTTTTATTGCAAAGTTTCATTCGTTCTTTTATTTATCTATAACTCGGTGTGAAATACTAATATTCCTGTGACAATGCCAAGTAAAAAGAAAAAATATAATGCCCGTTTTCCAGCCGTGAGTATCAAAATAACATGTAAGATTTTGGAATGAGTGTTTCTGCAAAAACATTAAAACCTTACATATTTATGAAATTATGACTTACGATGAAACCAATACTGCAATTAACAAGAGATCACGTTTAAACAACGGAAACCTAGAAAATTGTAAACAAATAATTATGCAAGAAATTTTACACATACATAGCTAACCTAATTTTATATTTCTGCATTAGGGTCGAATCAAGAAAATTATGCAAACTGACGAAGAAGTTGGGAAAGTTGCACAAGCGGTGCCAATTATAATCTATATCCTTTTTATATTAATACGAGAAACATAAGTGCCACTATGTTTTTCAAATTTAATGCCTCATAAATCTGTATTTAATTAGTAATATTATCCTTTCACAGTGTAAGTTCCTTAACTGTCTATATACCTAGAACATTAGAGTTGTTTGTGCATTCCTTGCTTACAAAAACAATGCAAATTACAAATGCCAAGAATGCCAAAACTCTAAGTCCATCTCATATGTAAGTACATACAATCATTTCAAACAGATCTTACACCAGTAAAAATATAATTGCATATCCTGTAATTACTAGGCTGTGAATTTTATGTATTTATGACACATGTAAATATATAAAACACAATATAACACTATATAAACACTTTAATAGAAACTACTAAATATTTATTTTTAATTTTAACTGAACATGTCCTTCAACATGTGAAATAGATTTACCTGTGATTCTCATTTATGTAAAATAGTTTATAAAATTATGAAGTTGCATACTTATTCATAGTCTACTAATTAGTATTAATATGTTTATTACTCAATGACATTGATATTCAAAGATCACAAAATAAAGGCAGAATTAGTACTCAATGTGAACCATGCATTATATATTGTTACTACATTTGTTAATACTAATTAATTTTATTGACTATTTAAAATTTACATAAGGGACTTTAATTTAACCCTTTTGTTTTGACATAAGACACCCATTTATTGTTAGAAATACTGTGGGAAAAACAGAAGGATGTAAGATTTCATTACAAAATTTCTATTCACCAGAGTGTTTTTAAATATTTAGCATCTACATTTAACACCACATGAACATTAAATGAATCGAATCGACCCATGGGATTAAAAGGGTTAATAATTATACTATATAAGCATTCACAAATTTATAACTTTTCCTTTACATTCATTTGTAGGAAGCAGTGCATCTTGTCTGAAAGTCGTTTCGATTTTTTGAAAGATTTGGTGAAGTCGTTACCAGATATATCAGGACCCGACGACGAAGTGCCTACACCACCATTAACACCCGCTCCAATAACTTCAAATCCATTGAATACATCTGTCTCTACTCCTGCATTGAGACATTCTGATGTAGGGTGAGTATCAATTAAAGTAAATAACATTTAAAATTCTAAATGTACATTATATTTTTATAGACTTCAGAAACAACAAATGGGATTAACTGCTGAAGTAAATATAGAACACAAAAATTTGAAAGACAATGGTGGAACAGGAATGTATAGTTATTCGAATGTTGGTAACCAGGCAGTTACGAATACATCTGGCTCTCAAGTTCCAGAATTTCAGATATCTGTGCCTGCATCGTTTCAAATTAGTCAACCAAATTTTTATACAGAAGTTAATCCTATGAATTTGAGTACAAATACATCCAGTGTAAGTGCGAGCAATCAACCAACATCAAATTTCGCTCATACTGCCAATCTCGACGAAGATTATGATACATAGTTATTTTTTAAGGATGTTAGGAACATGAATTCGTATATTATTAAATGCAGAATGGTTGTACATGCGTCTGCTTGATGAATATTATGAATTTTCGTTCAGACTGTTTGTTATGAGTACATTAGAGTACGTAATTTACATTATTTAAACAATCTTATTACATGTATATGCTTAAACAGCTGTAAATTTTTATATTTTTATATCTATTCTGTCAACAATTATGTAGATGTTGTATTCGAATTAGTTGAGAATAGAATATTTGGTATTTATTAATATTTTCCATTACTGTATTTGATTAGAAAGTACTCGTATTCCTAGTACTTTACTTTGATGTATACACATGTATAGTAGGCGTGAATGTTAGAATTCAAACAATTGTTGTGTGCTTTAAAACAATACTTTTATTATTATTGCTCTGTAGACAAGTACAATTTCGTTTAGTATTCATACAATTGCGCAGGTACATTGTACATTTATGCAGGTACAAATACTTTTAATCGATAAGGGTGTAAGTAGTTTCACATTTTGTAATCAGCAAAATTGTTTAATGTACCTCATTTAGTTTATATGTACATTAGAATGTTTATCATTTGCAACAAAATGTATACAGTAATGAGCTTTACAACTAAGATTTTTTTACATCAGTCTAAGGTAATATACATATATATACATATGTAAGGTATGCAATTTTTATAGAAGAGAAATTAGCACATAATGAGACATTTTTTATCTGTTAACGTTTATCACAGTTGATTTAAAAATTTAACGTCAAATATTTGTCATTACCGGATACATATGTTGTCTTGTGCATTATACAATCGTTAAAAAAAATATTTTATGCTTTATAAAACATTTTGTAACGCAAACATGTGTTGTACAGTTGTATATTCTATGCAGATAATGCGTATCTTTTTTATTATAATCATTAATTTTGAAGTTAAAAGTGTAAAAAGCACTCGCATTATAAAAATGAACAATTAAATTCCATAGAACCAAATTGCAATTAACAGTTACATGACTGTAAAATAACGTATACACGATAAAGATTAATCAGAAAATAAGCAATGCTTATGTAAAAATAGTTAGTGACTGGTATGCAGAATAATGCACATGTTGTATCTATACTCATAGCACTACACTTTTTTCTTATAGGTAACTTATTGTAAAATATAATTTAAATTTGATAGATGGAATACTTGGAAATCACAGAAAACTCGTTTAATTATTGATCATTGTATTTTTTAATAAAACACGACTACTTGATTAAAATTAAATAATATTGATTAAAAATGAAATTAAGTTATACGCATTTTTATATATTTAGAAATCTGTACCTAATGTGTTAAGAGAAAATAAGTTTTAATAAGAGGAAGTTTTCGATTAATTTTCAACTGAATGGTTAAACCAACAAAAGAAGGACATGTTCTAAAAAAAATTAAAAATAACTCTATTTCTTTATAAATATGTAATCAATATTCTTAAGTTATTAATTTTTTAACAGTATACAACTTGATATTACAGATTTATCTTTTGTAGAAATTACAAGACTGACTGACAACTTCCTCTCTTAAAATTGATATGTATATTTATATTACACATCTGTAAATAAATACTGATAGAATTATTTTAATAAGTTTGTTAGTTCATGTTATACTTGTTTATAATTATGATATGACTTGTGTACATTAATGCTGAAATGCCTTTTACAAAAAAATTGATGCCTTGGAAGCAATAAAAAGACAATAGATCCAAACATATTTTTAATCAAAATTTTCCTATACTTAAATTTACGATAATAAAGAAGTTTACCTTGTGAAAACGAATTGAATAAAATTAGAAACTATTTAATATTTGTACATAAAAGTAACTGTCTTTTAGTTAGAAAGTTTTATATTACAGTAACTAATATATATATACAACTATATAGTAATGTGTGATATATATATATTTTTTTTATTATACAGTTGAGCTATTAAATTTTATCAACATGTAAATACATTGCAATAAAGAAACTTTTATTTAGATAGATACTAAACAATTGTCTACCATATTGTATTTCTTATGTTGCATGAATGCATTGGCAATTTGTGATATTAAATACAGATTAGAGAAATGTGGTATTGTGCAGAAAATTAGATATAAATAATCAAAAAGCATATAAATTAATTCATTAAAAATATTGAAATACAAATTGCAGAATCAATATTTGATGTGATCTAGGATTTTTATGTTAAGAAAAAAAATGTTACATTCACCTAGAGAAATTTGCTTAATATTACTAGACAACTGGCAATCGTTTCTAGGTATAAACATTTGTGAAAAATCCTTCAAAAAATCTTTAATGTTAACAGTCGTTATGTAGAAATAATTAAGTTTGCAATTAAAAAATAAACAATAAACAATTGGTATATGTGAACGGAACGGATCTTCAAAAAAACGCTGTTGATGAATTGACATGTTTCAAGTGGAGACAGACATTTCTTGCTGACACAATGCATTCTATTTCGGAGTAATTTTTAGATGAGCCTCATGTTAAGAAACGTTTTAGGAGATTTAATACTCATTCTTATATCATAACAGCAATAAAAGAATAAAAGTTTTCAATTTGTCGAAAATACGGTTGCCTCAAATGGAACTTGAATGAACTTCGTGTATCGTTTAATGTCAACAAATCATCGAAGAAAATTTGAAGTTTGACGTAACTCTGGTATTTTATGACGAGAGAAAGAAATCAAGATGTACTGAAAACGAAAATTTTTGTTTAGGTAACAGACTCTAAATACTCTGATTTCTCCTGTGTCACAAAACCTTTGACCTGATGATTCATACTATATGTTTTTTTTGTTCTTTACATTGTGAAATGTAATCATTCTTAGCTTCTCACTCATATTGTATCATTAATTAACTTTCTATACATCACACGCTAATCTTCTGCATTGTATAATCAGCTAGCATTGACAGAGTAATACTAAGTCATCCTGTTTAGTCATAACAATCTTTGTTTATGTTTTGGCTTTAATATTGTTGACTATCTGAAATTTGTTTAAGATTAAGAGATAATGTGTGTGTTACTTCATTATTTTGTTTGTATGAATCTCCATTATTGTTCTTAAGAGAATGTATTTAGTGCCTATGCATCTTGCATATTTAATATATTTTTATAGGGACAGCATGCAATTATTGTATATAAATGAGTAATATTATAATGAGAAGTTTTAAATTAATCAAGACAAGTAATAACTTTATGGTGAATTTTATATTAATTTTTCTTATACTTTCATTATATTTAATAGAATTTTAGACTTTTTTTTCTGTATTGCATTGTATAAGTTATGAAGAAATTTATATCAATTTAGAATAATAGCTTTAAGAAGAGTACTAATTAATAGTAATAATTTTTTCTATAGTAATTCATGGCTATTTGCTTACTTTAGATACCGTATATAGCACATGTATTTGCTTATTAGGTGCATTGGAACATACGTAGTACTGCTGTTCATCTGTTCGAGTACAAGTATCTATGATGTTTTCATCAGGTCTTAGCTGTAATCTCTCCTTTCCCAGTTGTCTGGGATACCCTCAAGATAGTGAAGAACTCATACCAAAAATGGCTCGTGAGCCAATAATCCTTAATGTTTATGACATGGTAAGATAATTATGTTCCATAATTTGCATTAGTATATAGCTTTGAATGAATGAATTTTTTATTTCAGTATTGGATAAACGAATATACTACACCTATAGGATTGGGTGTATTCCATTCAGGAGTTGAAATTTATGGAACAGGTGTGTATACGAAAAGCTTTTGTTTCTTAGTTGCAAAAAATGTGACATTATTGTTATTTTGTAAAAATTCCAATTACTCCTTGTTAAAGATTAATCATATTAATTCATTAATAGAATATGCGTATGGAGGACATGCTAAACCAATCTCTGGAATTTTTGAAATTGCACCTCGAGTTGCAGAAGAATTAGGAGAGCAATTTAGATATAGGTAAGTTTCTTCTTTTCGATGTCATATTTTCTTCGTAATAAGAATATTAATTTTGAAAGTCTCTGCATTACATACAACAATATGTTTGTTTGTTATAGACAGTCTGTACATATTGGATACACAGACTTCACAGAAGAAGATGTGAGCAGAATTGTTGCTGAATTAGGAAAAGATTTTAGAGGCGATCGTTACCATTTAATGAATAAAAATTGTAACCACTTCAGTAGCCAACTTACACTTGTATGTATATATATAATACCAATATACTAATTATTTGCTTAACCAATATTACTATAACTAGTTTCATCTTGTGTTGTAGATTCTCTGTGGTCAAGAAATACCAGGCTGGGTAAATCGTCTTGCATACTTTAGTTCTTGTGTACCATTCCTCCAACGCTGTTTACCAAAAGAATGGTTAACACCTGATGCGCTCCAACATTCTTTGAGTCAAGTCAGTTATCATGAAAGCACACCACCATCAGATACTTCGTTGTAACATATGGCTAATTCTGTGGAAAGGGGAGGTTTAAAATGCCGTAGGAGTTACACCTTCTAGAGAATTTATGCAACAAACAAAGGAAGTTTATCATGACAGTGAATATATATCGCCAGGATTATGAAATTCAAGAAACAGAACCATCAAGATGACGTACAAATTTAATATTGTACTCCTGAATTCCACTGGTGATCAATAGTACTGAAAGAATTACCTTTCTTGCAACATGTCGTGTCCTAAACATTGGACGGCGACAGTAAACAATGTCGCGTGTGTTCTCTGTTGTATTATACAGTCGAAGTTTAATAGATATATATAATTGATAGGTAATTGTGTATAAATCAAAGCCATAAAGAGACTGGAACTTATTTATTTACCGATTACGCGCATTATTGTATTAAGAAATTTCCTGTGGCTGAGATTTCATGCATGTCATGAGTCTTCATTTTAACTTGCATTTGCAGAATAATATTTATAAAAGCACATTAAAATGCATTATCTAGATAATTAAAATTACATATTAATATCATTTTTTAAATTTATTCACTGTATCTTAGAAAGTATTCTGTAATGTTTCTCCTAAACACTCAATAATCTGATTTACGTAAACGTTACAATTATTTGTACATTCGACGCTTCCCTGTACAGCTGCCACTACTATTTTTAGGAAGTTTAAATGAATAATGAATTTAATAAATACTGACATTCATACGTAATTAATAATCAAGTTAAGTAGAACTTGTTCTTCATGTATATGGTTTAACAAAAATATGTTTTCTGCGAGTACTTTTATAAAGAGAGAACGTATTTATAATTTTATAATTAAGGTAATCTGAGTCAACGATTTTACACCATATGAATGTCAAATTTTGTAAAGTGCTCTTGGATTTTGCACAACATAGGAATAAATGCAGAAGCATTATAATTTCCGAGGCTTTTGCCAGATTTGTAATGCAATGAGTTTTTTGTCGAACATTCATGGCAAACAAAAAAAATTACCAATGTTGCTAAAACTGTTGTTGATGTCAAATTTATAATGTTACGTGTTAAAAGAAATTCATAAAGCAATTTGAATACGATACCAATATTTAAAAACAACATAAATTTTATTAGACATTTCATATTCGTAAATTATAACATGAAAATGCAGTAACACGTAGTGCCAACTCGATTTTGTTCTTAATTCAGCCTTTAGGAATAACATTAGAAATTCACATTTTGCATACAATTCAGATAGACGTTATTAATTACGAAAGTTACATTCAATGTTAATATGTGAATATATTTTACTGTGTGATTTTTAAAAAATTAAAGGTATACGTCAGTTACATTAAAAAACCTCGACATTGAATATATTAGATACATACTTATTTCAATGATTGTATTATGCAAAACATCTTTTAAGATAAAATTTCGAGTTAATTTTGAATAGTGAAATTATTTAATATGTAGTGTGTACAATATAGTAAATTTATTGATCTAAATTTACGTACTTCTGTACGATACACTTAACAAATTTCTGATTAAATTATACTATATTATATTTGCGAAAAAGATTCTAAAATTGTTACCAATATTTCATAGAACTAACCATGTTTAGTTTTATATTTTTGACTAATACTTATGTATTGATAGATCATTAAAAACTGATTACTTTCTTAGTATAGCATAATAAAATAATGAAGTATACAAAGCACAATAATATACAGTATAAGTACAAAAGCTTGTGTAACTTTCTAAATGACTTTTTTCATAATGCTGTTTCGTTTGTTTTTTCAGTAGGAAGTTTCCTCTTACTGTGAATGATTTCTTTTTAAGCAATAAACATTCTAAAAATTACTGCACCGATTTATTGACTGCAACAGCACACAAAACCAATCACCCAATAGACTTTATATTTACAACTAACTTATCGTCCGTTTTAAAATCAAGGAATGTACGCACAAACTTTTTTCAATTTATTAGTATATTTCCTTTACACACGAAAATTAAGTTATTTCTTAATGTACCAGTAGATAATGAATAAAAAATGTATATATACTCTTCTTCTATTGTGGAAGATTTTGCATGAAACAAAATATGTAAAACATAAAGAATATAAATACTACAAAATCTACAAAACAGATGTTCTTTACGACAGTATCTTATAAACATAAAAGTTTGGTCTTCTTTCTCGCTGTGTCAGCGCACTTTCAATAATTTACAATGAAATACAATCTTTCATTTAAAATGCAAATAATTGCTTGCAATTGTTTTTAATAAATATCGTAAATAATGCACATGTTAGTTATAAATAAGTTCGTAATGTAGCGTACACTAAACTAAGTTGCTAGAAAAAAAATGATGATTAATAGTCAGGTCATTACATGCACTGGTACTAAACCAATGGGATACATAAATCATTATTAATTGTTACAGAAAGTACTCTAACAGTTCATAAAAAAAGTAAAACTATTAACACATACAATCTATGTATGCATGTATGTACGTATGTATACATATAATCATTCTATTCTCGTGCAGAATGCCGGTCGTACATTTTTTGATTACGCGTCAAAAGGAAGCAATAATTATAGCGCAGTTTATTTCGTCTTTTTTTTAAACATATTACACGATGTACTCGAAACGTTGTTGTCATGTATTATGTGCACGCAAAAGAAAATTGAAAACAAGAAGAATTGAGGGTCTAAAATCAAGTTGAAATTGCGAGCTTCTTTAGAAATTTAATTATTTACAAAAATATAAAATCAATGCTATACAAAGTGACTATTTCTTCGTATGTTATTTATCGATAGACAAGACTGTTCAAAGATAAAGCAACATAAAGGCAAATAGATGCGTCTTTGATTTTAGAACCCTTAAGTAACAATGGCGGAAGATAGGCAAAGTATTGAATTCCGTTTGTAAGTACAATATAACACGTACAATATTATAATTTATAAACACACCTTGATTATACTTCTAGAATAGATTCTAGACCTCATATTTAAACTTTTTATTTTACTCCGATACGGACAGCAATGCCTGTACTATTACATTCTTCGTTTTATAACATTAACACGTTTCTTCTATTAACGGTGTCTCCTATATTTTTTAATATAAGAATGCCAAATCTATTGCAGTCGATATATATTTTATTTATAATACATTCTTGTGTTTTGACCATTACACAGTCATTTGTCGAAGACATTTCGTGGTTACCATTTGTTTTTCTGGTATAACACTTGTCTCTTAATAGTTGTGTTACGATTTAACTGTGTGTCTATCGACGATGATGTTTCAAACAGTTGAAGCTTCGGTCTTATGTATTGACGTTGTTTTGTGAAAGTAATGAGAAATTAAACGGAATGTAGAGCGTCGATGTACCTACCAATAACATTTTCAATATTTTATAAAATTTTGACATTTCTTAAATTTGTCCCGTTAAAATTCCTAATAAGTATATGACAATTCAAATGCAAGATTAGATTCGCGATTTTCTATTCTTAAACATCTTGGACTGATATTGTGTAATTATTTTCCCGTTTGACTGTTCAACATGTCCAAAGATTTCAATACGAAGAAAAACTTTCGATTCCCATAGCGTTCTGTATAAACAAACAATTCAGGATTCTCAATCGATACACGTTACTCTGCATTCCAACTACTGGCATAGAATCCTGAGATAGTTATCATGTTCTACCAACTTTTTTCATTCAAGTATAATTAGCAAATTTTTATAAATGTACATGAAAATTGTATATTTTATACATTGAAACATATAAAACTTGTTATCGTGTTTGCCTGTTTTCTGTGACTTTTACTTTTTTTTTCATGTTCACCCTAATCTTACATCTATAGAAACGAACTGAATGCAACCGATTAACCGTTATACTGTCCCTACAAATTTGAAAGTAACGTATGATTTCTCTTTTTTTTTTTTGGATTCGTTGATTTTTAAACGTTTTAATATAAAAGTAATAAAAAGGTTGCAATAGCGTACGGCATTTACAGTTCTGTCTTATTAAAACTGTCGCAGAAACATTAATATAGAAATTTCATGTTATTTGGTTCGAAATAATGATTATGTTCTCAAAACTCTTCTTTCTCAGTCATGCATTGCACTTCCATTCTTTGATCGTGAGGTTGTAAATATAATTCTTTGAAACGAACTAATGATTCTGCATTGACACCTATCGACTTAAGGATAGAAGAAGCGGTATATTTATGAATGAAAACACAGTTTTCGTTGCAGTAAGGACAAATCAATGCTCAACATCGTTTTGTTACTGTCGTTATAATACTCGTACGTTGTGTAAAAGTTGTTTAGAGCCACCTCGCTTATATGACTACCTATTATCAGCAGGAGATTCCGATAAATTGCACGATTATCCTACTATTCACACGCTGAATAAGACGATGCACTTCACTGCATTATGACGCAATAGAAAATATTTAGTCATAAGGCATCAGATCAATTCATATCTTCCATATTCATTTAATGTCGCTAAGAATGATTGAGTATATAATTAACTTGCAACTATCTTGTTTATACCTAGATTCAAAAGTAGGTACGATAGATTAAGTAGATTAATTCTTTTCTTTTTATTGCTAGATAATTTGACTGAGATTTCGATTTTTATTAATTTAAAACGTAGTTAGTCGCAATGATTAAAAATTTTAATTATGCAAAAAAAACCTGCTTAAAAATTCACAGAAAAAGAAAAACGACACCTATTGTGACAATATATGGCATCGTAAAGCTGGCTCAGTGATCTGTTGAAACGCATAAATTATTTACAATAATTTATCATTATATTATAATTATAAATTGCCTCGTTAAGTATATAACTTATTATGCATAAATTCATGAAAACCAGAAAGTCATTGCAATACGTTATCAAAAATAAACTAAGGATAACGTATTTATCAAATGCTCATATTGAACTAAGTATTTTAAAATGTGCAACTTACATATATTAAAACGTCGCTTCAATTATACGTAAGAGTATTATGCTTTTAGTTGTACGTTTGTAATGCAATCCAACGTAATGCACAATGTTTAAAAAAAAAAGTGTATTGCACAAAATTAGATAAAGAAAGAAATGTCGAAACTTTTCGGCTGATAAGATCAAGCACAGACATCGTTTTTATGTAAAGTTATTACTATAGATACTGTAATCCTATGATTCAGGTAGTGCAAATGATTACAGTAACTTCTCCGTATCATTAGAAGTGTTAAATAATTTTTTACGAGTCGTACGAGGACGAACCATGATCGTGAGCTGGACTTGGAGGCGTTGATGGATTTGAACTGTTGTTTGAAGCTATTGAATGTCTGGGACTTCCACCAGAAGTATGTTCCTATAGTAATGAAATATTTAAACCATTCTTTATTAAAAGAAACCGTAACATCTACTTGGAAAGTAGTGCATAACCTTTTACTTCCCCTCCCCAACAAATACTGGAGAATTAAAAATACTCTATTCAGACATAAATATTTCGTATAAAAGAAGTGAATACCTTGTCGTGTAAAGATGCGATACTACCAAGAGAAAGTGGAGTATGGGATCGTAGATGTACGGATTCCGAATCGACTTGGTCCACAGGAGTACGTGGTAACGAAGGCGGAGTAGCAGTTGGTCGTGGTGGTGCTGGTCCTCTTCGTGACGATGTTGAGCCTAAAATAAATGATAAAGTATTACGTTACGATATTGGCTGTAAACAAATAAAAATGAAAATAAAATTAAGGACATACCATTATGTGGCGAATATCCGGAATTTCTCGATATATGAGAACTGAGACGTCGTGTATCAGATGGAGGATGTCGAGGTGGTAACGGTGCTGGCTTGCTCGGTGTTTGAAGTACAGGGCCATATAACTAAACGAAAATAACACAGAGTACAATTTTAAAGATAAGACCTTATAAAAAAGTGTTCACAATGACATAATAAATTCCTACTCTTTGTTGGCTGCTGTGAAGATGAGAGCTACTATGGTGACCACTGTGCTGTTGATCAGCTGTTTCGAGTGTGGTAGGCAAATCTAATAATCGCTGTATCTAAAATAATACGTCAGATACGTATAAAACGATATGTACGTTATTAAAAGCGCAATGAAGTGTAATTGACAGAACTAATTTAAGTTACCTACCTGTATCCCATTGCCTGGACCCATATGACTGATATGATTGAAATTTGTTGGCGCGGATATCATTTTGGAGCGTCTATCCGTGGGACGAACAGCTCTATTTCCTTCTCTCAATGAAAATCTTCTACGTGGTCTTGTCATTTGTCTACCGCTTGCGTCTAGTGGTGTTAAATTGAGTAATTCTCCTATTGTACCATACAGAATTTATACCGTGTTTGATAACATTATATTTAACATTACACAACTATATCGCTAATATGCAAATAAATTGTACTCACGTTGATGTAGATTGCTCAAGAAAATCACGTGTGGCATGTCATTAATGGTGCATGACGTTAGAGAGCCTGATGTGTTCAGTGGTCGTGCTCGTTTTACGTTTAGTGTTTGCAACCAGTCTCCAGTTGTACAATCAAACACGTCGATGTGAGTGTCGCTATAAACTAGTAGGTAACCTTCACAATAACCTGTAATATAAATTAACCAGTGTAATACCTAGCATAGAATACGAACACGCCTTTAAACTAGCATCTGGCAAGTATACTTACTAACTGCTGTAGGAACAGCAGGATACATAATTTCACGATCTCTACTCTTTCTACCTTGGCTGTCAACATATACTGCCAATGTATGGAAGACTAACAAGAATTCACCACGCGGTAATTCGATACAACGTAAAGCATCCACAGCACTGTACGTGAGAAAACCTAAGAGCGTATTCTCAGAATGGACCAATGCTAGATTACACAAAACAATCGATTAATACAATTATTCGTCTTATTATAATACACAAGTTCTTTTTATATTTCTGTTATACTATTACTCACAAATTGGGTGATGGTCTCCTAAAATGCTGTAGATAGAAAATCCAGAAGGATATCCGACACAAAAACGGCCATCAGAAAGAACTTGCAACGTCTGTGCGTGACATGGTAACATCAACTCGCGTATACGTTTGTGACGTGTTTTCGTACGCGTTATTTCGTAGATGATGACTTGTGATGCGTTCTATGTCAAAAAAAAATACACGTTTAAAACAAAGGTGATTAGCGCATTAGATTGAACTCACCTGTTTCTTTATGGCAACACATAAACAATATGTTAATGGACTGCGACGTACTACTCCTGTTGTTAGAGTAATACACCCCTTAGTTTCTGCAACTTTAATCCATTCAACTTCATCTCCATCTAATGCACGTACTGGAACCAGCCGTACATGACGTTGTTTTCCACTTAAAACTACAATTAATTGTTCTTCCGTTACATATTCCAATAAGTATATTTTCTTGCCCTCTCCTACTCTTGCAATTTCTAAAAAAATCACATATATTAGCCATAATAATAGACAACTCTTCCGTTAAATATCTATAACGTTAAGTACAACATACCACTACGATCTAAATCTAAACAGAAGAGACCTTCTTCTGTCCCAATGACTAGACGATCTGGATCAATAATTGCTCCTGACATCACATTTTTAATGAGCGCCAATGTATTATCTAATAATTCTTTTGCTCTAAAAATCTGTATACAGGAGGAGAAATATAAATAAAACTGTATAAGTTCCTAACATCGTAAATTCTGTGTACACTACTTACCGTTGTATTAGGAAGATTGTTTTTCTTTAGTATTCTATGCAGTTCACTCAAAGCAACGACCCATTTTGTTTTCTCGCTTTCAGTGTCTGCAAGCATTAACGTGTGATTCCTCAAGCCTGGTGGTTCTAGCAGGGATGTGGTTATCTAAAAAAAGTTTAGTATTGCAGTAAGTCATAAAGAAACATTAACACGTATGCAATATAACAAGATGAAGAGTTACCCTAAATATGCACGGAATGTCTTTCTTCGTAGCATGAATGACATCCGAGTCTCGCACAGAACTAACGCTAAATTCTTCGTCTCGCATATCTAGGACTTGAGACACATACACAGATGGTAATGCATTGCGATCTGGTGAAATGTCATAAAGAAATAATTTGAAATCGCAAACAACCACAAACTGACGAATCCAACCCTTTTTCACTCCACCCATTTTTGGCACTTTAACATACCCTTCATAGGCTGTACCTATACCCCGTGTGGGATCAATGCCCAGTGGTCGTTTTGCTGTAAAACCAGTACGTTTTTATTATCATTATTCGTTGAATACTTAAACTGTTGAAACTAACTAATACAGTGTATAATTTACTTTGATCATGGGGAACAGGACACATTGGTGGCACCTTATCGCAACAGGGCATATGACACGCAAAGCCGCAAACTTCGCATACTACTCCTTGCCTCGTTAAACCCACCATCAATGAAGTGCAATGGTTACATTTTGTAGGCGCAGAAAATGTTCTTACTAAGAACTGATGAGATTTTGGTTTCGGTTGAAGATTAGACTGTCCGTGTACTGCTGACGATTTGTTTAGAAGTTCATGGGACAACGGTGATGTTGGATCCTAAATTTTAATAGACAATAAAGTTTTAATAAGATGCAATATTTAAATGACATTCGATTATATGTAAATACTTACAATGCTGAGCTCAGACAAGTTACTTTTACTGCTGGAAATGCTTGGTGCACGATTGTCCTCAATATCGGCCTCGACACTATCTGCGCTTCCGTGACGTGTACTGCTTGCAGTTTCTTTCAAAAAATGTTCTAGATATGACATTTGAGACGTAGGACGTTCTAAAACTGAAATAGAAAAAGTACGTATTAAAAGGATAGTAATACATTTATGAAGTGTGATTAAAATTTCGGATGACTGTAATTTTGTTTACATTGTTAAATTAATCAAAACAAAATATAGAAAATTTTCTAATCTCCATTAACATACACAATAAAGTAAACTTATAGAAAGTAAGAATATTATATGTTTTCCTTTTTACAGAAGTTTAAGTTTTAATCGTAAACTTCATAGCACCCTTATTCAAACGTTTTTAATGTAATCACTCCACTGCAACTTGCATCACACAAACTCTGTTAAAATAGTGATCGTTATTACGTATACGGGGATTGATATTTTATCGTTCACCAGCAGAAGTAGCAAGCAGATAATAAAATATACCAAAAGTCAATCAGATCAAACAATCGAAAGGCGAAAACATTCAGGCACAACATACCTGTTAATCATTTAATTACAAAAACTGAGTAGATTATCAGCTACTAAGATTAACAAAGGACAACCATCACCTAAAAACGATGAAGAACTACCAACGCTATCCTTAATTGGGGGACGATTATTTTCAACATACAAGGAAACACATAGTTGTTCTTGATGGTAATTACATAAAAATCCACGCAGAGCTATGTTTGGAATCTAAAATATGTTCAAAGATTGAATGTACCTTTTATTATTCGTCGTACCTCTCAAAAGTTTAGGATCACTTGTCACTCATAACATTCACAATTCGCAGAAGAAAACAGTAGAAGTAAATTACATATCGTGCTCTCTAGTTTTCGACGGCATAAAAAAAACTCTATGTATCTTTTCTACTCAAAAAAGATTTAAGTCTATCTGATTAGATAAATGATTCCAGACTTTCGGAGCTGTAGTAATCATAACGTATTAATTTTTTTTTTGTAACACAGTATAGTGGGTTTACACAGCAAGTTGAGAAACACAGCTCTGTGCTTTGTAATTAGCAAATCCAGCCGACCAGTCAATCAAAATCGCGGGTTTTCTCTCTGTTGCCACTTCATTTACCAGGTGGCGATACGATGGCGACGGCATTCTGACTGATGAATGTGTTGACGGGAACGAATCTAGTTAATAAGCGACATGTCGTGACGCGGGGAGCACGCATTACTGGTAGGGGTGACGACGGCTGATGTACGATGATGCGTTGGGGTTTGGTGCTAACGATGTTCGAAGATTTGCTTGACGTTTTGCTGGATAGGACAGCTGTCACAAATACAGTTTGAAGATGAGCAACAAGAGGCCCCAGACACAGCTCGTTACGCCAATAAACAGAGGCACTTTGTAGTCTAGAAATCAGAATCGCATACCGTACCGGAGGACCGAATTACTATGCTGGATAGATATCCCAGTAGCAACGATCTCTATTATTGGTAGCTTATATATTGAGAACAGACACATCTTATATTTTATACATAGCTCGTAATTGTGTTTTTTTTCCGGTGGACATGGATTATAAATATAAGAATATTCAACAACAGTACATATTTATATTGCAAGCAAAACATTTTACACATCTCCGTGAAAACTGGAGGTGATTGAATAGTCTAAGTAGAATAGAAACTATGTTTCAAGTGCCTTATGTTTCGTTCAAATAATATTCAAAGATTATTATTACCAGCATATATATGTTTACACGTGTATTGTACCTGTTCAGTGTAAAGTATCTAAAAAAATATATCAATTCTTTTGGTATGGTATTATTATGGTGATACTATACTTGAATGTAAATATTAAGATTTGTAACAATTCAGTGTTCTACTTCAGTAACGGTATTATTCGCCGACTAATTAACTATTCCTATTTACAAAAGACTTGCAAAAAAATGGAGTATTCACACACTGAATCATACAAATTTAATATAAATTCATTAGTTGGCTAAATGTAGAATACAGGAAGAATGACTGACTATACTTTCCAGAAGCACTACATTCCATACTAGAATGAAAGGAATTGTTATGTTCTAATTTTTAAAATGAACATCGTACATAGTAATAAATACTTTTCTTAATATGCGTGTATAATGAATACTAATTTGAGATTTGAATGCTATGCATGACTAACATAAATGTAACGTAACAATTCCGATGGATTTTTGTTGAACACATGCAAATTTGTTTGCTTCGTAATATCAATAACACTAATCGTGTGCCGTTTTTTTGTATCTAGGAAATCACTCGAAACAAAATGGTAGCGAAGTTAAAATCATTATTCGCCTATTCATTCAGTACTCTCAATACGATAATAATGAAAATATAAACGTACAAATTATATTAATTGTGCCGTAATTTTAGAAAGTGCTCGTCAAGATATTATAAAAGAAAAGTGTATGTAAGACATAAGTATATTCATCGCTTGAAAACTGTGCATTTACAAATTACATACATAGCGTGTATCGCAGCAATTTGTATAATCATGGTTGATACAAAATTTTTATGAGGACGCAACAATGAGATTTTCATGACTTTTTTACTTCTAGCATTGTTAACTGAAATGTACTTACAGCCTTCGCCCGTGTCAAGCCTTGTTTGTAACTCTTTTATTTGCATTTCTTTGCGTTTCATCTCGTGCGTGAGAGTATCGAACCGTTGTCTGAAGTCCCTTAACTCTCTGTGAACACGCAGAGTTCACATTTTAATATATATTTGACAAGACTCATCAATGAAAATTTTTTAAATACTAAAAATTAGAATAATTACTTTTGAGCAGCAATCAAGTCCGATCGAGTCTTTGTAAGTTCTTCGGATATCGCCTGCTTCGCTTGAATTTCACTTTGTAAAGAACTCTGTAAATTCAAAAGTTCCATTTTATCGAGCTTCTGCGATCTACGATTACGCCAATTCTTGTCCGCCATCGTGGAACCGCTTCCTACACCTCCTACACCACCAGAGTGTTTCAAGAACTCCAGTTCTTCTGTCATTTTCGTGGCTAACGCCTGAAATATGCAACCATACATATGATTATATTATTAAGAATCCATTCATTTTAGTAAAAAAAAAAAAAAAACAAAAGTATAGTTTACGAAAACAAACCTGTAAGTATCCTCTAGCATCCTTCTCATCGGATACCCATTGGATAATTTCAGTGATCTGAGCTTCCCACTGTGCAATAGCTTCCTTCTTATTTCTTAATTCTTCATATTCCTCTTCCAGTTGCCGCCTTTCACCTTGTATTCTATTAACACTATCGGTAAGAGTGGTCAGTTCTAACATTAGTTTCTTATTCTCTTCGACTAGCATAATTTTCTCTCTCTCGTGACGTCTGTTTAATTCGTTTATAGTTTCCTCGCTGTCGGTAATGTTTTCCAATCTGGCAGCGTCCAACTTTTCTTTCGTTAATTGAACCTCTCGTTCCAATAAATCTCTCCTCGTTTCAGCCTCGTGCAGTTGATCTTGAAGGCTACGAATCTCAAGATTGAACCTGCTTTGTTGCTGGTTCAAATTTTCATTGTACTGAACCTCGAGTTTCTCCACTTCTGCCTTTAACCTATTGATTTCTTGTGTTGCTAGCGCATGGTTCGCGCTCACGTCATTCCCTATAGATCTTTGCCTGATTTTCTCAGTCTCCTCCTGCATTTGCTTACAATACTCCTCACTGCGCTCACGTAATTTTCTTTCCTTGCTCGTTTCCGCCATCGCTTCCTCTACTCGATTTTCTAGTTCTCTCCGCAATTTCTCGGCTTTCCGAATATCATGCCGCAAACTGTCGACCTTCTGCATTACAACTTCCAATTCTTCTTCTTTATCTCGAACTTGCCTGGACAACTTCTGCTTTTGTTGCCTTAATTCTGATAACTTGTCTGTGACTTCAGTATATTCGGCCATCGCTAGTTTCCGTTGCGTTAACGCGTCTTTTAACTCTTTATCCTGAAGTTTAAGCTTCTCTTGTGCATCTAATTTGTCCTTAACAGCTTCCTCCTTTTCTGAGCGTAACGAACGCACGAGCTTTTCTAATTCTCGTAGTTTTGTCATGTCACCGTTATCTAGATTGCGTAATTCACGTGGAACTTCCATTGACTTTAACTGTGACTCTAACTCTGAAAAGTGCGAATTGAATTTAGCGATAAATAGAATAATAAGTGTCTATACTTATATAGAAAGTTCATAACATATGCACTCACCACAATTGCGTTTAGTAAGTGTGTTTATCTCATCCTGAAGCTTTCTTGTTGCATTATTAGAATCTGGTGATATGCCAGGTGAAGAATGAGTGACTTGATTCTTCAAATCTTCAAGTGCTTTTGTCAACTGTGCATTCTCTTCCTCGAGTATTTGTACCCGTTGATCTTTTTGTGTTATAGCTGGTAAACAACCCAGGTCTGATATGCAACTGTAATTAATAAATATACAATTGTATCCAAGCGACACATTTACACTGATATAAATTGAATAAGATTTTCTCCTTACCTTCCTTGAGTAAAACTAAAACCAACAAATGGTAAATGAAGCGCAGAAAACGCGGAATTCGCTGCTGGTGGTACAGCATCGGAACTGCGAACATCTGTATCATCAACATCAAAATTTGATGTATCTGTTGGCGAGGAAACTTCAGGAATGTAAGGTGCAGTACTGTCCCTAAGAGTGTCCCAATTAACTCCGTCAAACCATGGGTGTTTCTATATTATGTAATTAGACGTTAATTTTATATAATATAGCTGCAGTGTTAAGCTAAACAAATATACCCAATAATACCTTAAAATCATCAATTCCATTCTGACCTAATCTAAATTCCGAACTACATATTAACTTTCTCATTAAATCTTTAGCTTCTTCAGAAACTTCATACATGTCATCTGCTGGGAAGTCAAAGCAATTCTGAAATTGTATACAAATATAGGTGACTATGTATACTACGGTATACATATACTACGAGATGTGTATACGTATCTACACTATGTTACTCAATTACCTTATGATTCATAATTTTTCCGTATGTTTCGACTAGAGATTCCGCATAAAAAGGTGTCTCCCCATATAGCATTTCGTACATGCATACTCCTAAAGACCACCAATCACACTCAGGGCCATACTGTCCCTGTCCATCTTCCATTGCCTACAACATTCCATGATGAATTTAAGTAGATAATTAACAATTTTGTAAGAGTAATATAATACAGAAATACATTACCCTTAATATCTCTGGTGAAATATAGTCCGGTGTACCAACAGCAACGTTACTCTGTACGGTGCCATCTTCAAACAATCGTAAACACGATCCAAAATCAGCTAATCGTATGTGACCGTTTGCGTCTAACAAAACGTTGTCAGGTTTAATATCACGGTGCACATAACGCAAGTCATGTATGGATCCTATAGCCAAAACCATTTCAGCTATATAAAAACGTGCCATATCTTCTGGAAGGCGATCCTCGAATTTGCTTAATAACGTTAATAGGTCTCCACCACAGTAATAATCCATGACCAAATACTGCACATAATTATTTAGAAGCAAATAATGTATTTTTCTTCTTATACACGTTGATAACTGAAGACTGAACATAAAAATTGCCGAATGTAGGCATTAAATGTATGGCACTAACAGCCTCTTTTATGTGCAGCCTTCAATTGTCTTTAATGGTATTTATAAATGAAATCTTACCAAATTATTGTCATCTTGAAAGGCATAATGAAGATTTGTGATCCATCTACGATCACCGTACACGAGTACATCTCGCTCCTCTCTAAAGCATGCAGTTTCTGCACGCTTTAGCATTTCCCATTTGTTCAAAATCTTCATCGCAAAAACTTTGTCCGAACCACGCATTCTTACAACACATACTTCCCCAAATGCACCTCTACCTATAACTTTTACTATCTCAAAATCCTCTCGTGCCAGTTGCAAACTCTTTATACAAGTAGCCACTGGTTTTACTGCAAAAAATACGTACCAGTTACAAAATAATTATAATTAAGAAATAATGTATCAGTAATTACAATTTTTGAAAACTGTGTATGTACCAAATTCAATAAAATCCGAGACAGTCTTCTCACGTCGTAAGGAAGAATTACAGCATTCATCGTATAAGACAAGTAAAATATCAATAAGTGTCTCAATAGAAAATGTGTGGCTTATTCTTCCTTCCCCTTGCACAGGACCACCAATAAAAAGGGCTTCTAATTGGCGTAACCTTCCTCCTATGCCTATTAAAAATATCTTTTGTTTATTCACATGTACAATTTGTATATCAGTATTATAAAATAAAGTGTGTTATTAACAAATAACTTATTATATGTTTCATAACATACCATTGATTGCAAGGCCCTTTGGCATAATATCAGGAGGAGGTTGATTATATTGGTGTTGTGATGAATCTGACATGTCTCTTTTTCGATAAGGATGTCCCTTACCAAAATCTTTGGATACTACTTCTGTCATTCTTAACAATATTATTCAATAATATTTCAGACCACCACATAATGATGTGATGACAATCCTAAAATATTTCAATATTAAACAATTAATAAATGTCAGTGCAAAGGATATCTTAGGTGTGTTAATAAATAATCCACTATATTGTTTTTAATCAACTGATAACACAGTTTAAATTCAAAATATCTTCCCATCTTTGTTTTCCTTAAACATAACAATTGGTGTTAGAGAACGAAGATGAATATTAACGAAGCAGCACAAACTTTTGATTTTCTGAAAAAAAGATATTTAATTTGACAAGATATAGTGAATTATTTATTTGAAGATCTAATTATATACACTTGAAAATATCCAATAAAATACATATTTAATAATGTATATAGAAACATGTTTATAATTACTAAAAAAAACTGAGTAACAAATGTAATTTGGTTTTCTTTGTATACTAAGATATTTAAAAAGTATAAAAACATAAACACTATATACTATGAGCTTAAGTGCATAGTGACAATTTACCTTAAGAAGATAATTCCCAATAGACATATCTAAATAGGATCACTTTCACTGTTTAAACATTAATTTTGTTTACAACCATGCGGCAACAGTCTCCCGATCATTTTATCAGCGTATTACCAACAAGCAATCGAACTTCTGTTTTCCCTTACGCAGAACGTCGAAAATCAATTCCCTTTAACTTTGCGTAGTATATATGTTCCCGCACGCCACTACGTGTAAAACAATCGAGTTTCATTTAATTCATCATCGGCCATGGTGCCGGAATTACTCACGTCGGAAATTACGTAACTGCTTACAAAGATAGCCAAAATATTTGGCGAAGAAAACACGCAACAAGAGGAATACGTGTAAATAAAGCGTACAGACAAAAATAGTGCAACGGGGTAGGGCACCGCATTCGCGGTCACCGAATTCAACAAAATCACCAAGACAACTCGTGTCCCGGAAGGAATCGGTATTCCATAACGAAACTGTACAGTACTTGTTTAATGTATCAGCTAGAGGATGGAACGTAGGCGAACGTTAAAGCTCATTGTCCCAATTTCGGATATAACCTCGACGCGGCACTACCAACACTCGCTTCGAAACAAATATCTGACGTAAAATTCTTATCGCATGTGAGAAGAATGTTTTGAGTGAAAGGCTTTTTCTTCGCCGATCCGGACTGTTCGCTCGATCGACACGAGCATATCTGCCGAAACGATACGCCCCGCTGTTATACTGGTTTAATTGTTTATTATGCGCACCATTCGATTATCACAAAACATCTTGCATGGCCACCTCCAAACCCCCAACAATTTGGCTGACCCCCTGGCAGGCCCCATATAGAAAAAAAAATATGGCAGTCCTACGTCATTGAAAACACCCATGATAATTCCCTACATAGATTGAGTTCTACGTATTGCATACGTGAAATATGAAATGACAAAGTGGGTTCACAGTGACAATTTCTTTTATTTATCGAACCATACACCTTGGTCTTTTTTCGATTCGTTCATAAGTGGTTCACTATAAGAATGTAAATTGTGTTCTTTTTCCAAACTAATGAATCATAATATTTATCCAAATTGCACACGGATACAAATCCTGATAAATCTTGTACAAATATTCAAATGAAAATATTTTGATATCGTGGAGCATAAAGTTTACACTGAGATGATGTATTATTTTAGAACTTACTAAGCGATTTAAATTCTATATTTATACCGGTTGATTTCTAATAATACCTGTTAATAACGTTTTAATAATATAACACTTATATTTTACGTTTTCACAAGATTGTTAGATTAAAAACGTAAATTTGACTACATAATACATAGTTTGTGGTGTACAGAATATTTCATACTTACTTAATGTATTATTTTATACCAATAAAGTGACATGAATCACATGTATTTTATACATATCCATTTACATGAAAGAAAAACGATTGTCTGGTTTTATACATTACAAAATTATCAAAATATAGATTCTAGAACAAATGGGAACATACATAAAAGACGGAGCGCTGCGATCGATGCAGAGTTGCCGATCATCTTTTCTATTTATTATACGATTTTTCGATCTCGATTACTTTTATTATGAAAAATCGTAAGAAAGACGCTTGATGAATATTTAAGGAATTTTTATCGCAATTTCAATGCAATTAGTCAAGCAATTCGAATAGTTCGCACTCAGTACATTGTGGAATGTGCAAGGAGGAGCTACTGTGTTACGCAGCTCTGCATGATGCCATCAGAAAAATACGTAATAAACACGAAGAATTCGTGTCTTATGCGCTGTCGAGTTAACATTTTGCCGCTTGACATAAGATACGAACTATTTCGCGGGGATACGTACACGGTTAAATGATATAAAACCGTATTTCTTATTTTTACTCGGTAGCATGTATACGTGGCAACAGAGCAAAGTAGACGAGTGCTCTGTCACTTCCTAGTCAAAAGAAATTCTTCGGGCACAAACAATAATATATTAACACTGTTAAAATAGTGAGACAGGGTGTAATTTGGAAAAAGTGCTCTCGAATACACCACCAATACGTTTAACTGTCCCCGATGTGATCGGTAGAGAATCTTTTTCTGTGTATAGTCACGTACCAGCAAGCGTCGGTTTACATATTACATGTGCAACCTGTGTTAAACTCTTTCACGGTTAGCATTTTACGAACGTATCCAAGAAGAAATGTAATTTAATTCTGTTTAATGGACGCTGTGCGTTAATTATTCAGTTAATCACTGGAGAAAAATATACGTATATATCATTGCATGAATGAATATGTAAACATATACACACATCTTATTTACATATATATATTCACAAGGTGTTGGAATACACAAATATTTGGAAAAGTCAACGAAAGGAAAAAAACAATTGTTGTAAGTTCTATTGTCATGTTCTATTTCTTTGTTAATTGTATCCTGTTGATTTGCTTTGAATTTGCAAATATTAAATTAAATTATAATATTGTTTAGTAATAAGTATTTTTCAATCATTTTATTAATGAGTTAATTTTGTATATTCATAGTATTTTTATGTGGAATGTAATATCTTAATAAGTATGGGAGTTTTTTTATTGTATGTACATCGTACACAATACCTCTAAATGATTTGTATTGTTATTACTAAAATACAGATATTTGTGTAAAAATTTTCATGTTCATAATTTACTTTGCAGAAATCACAATTAAAGAGACAGTTATTTAATCTATGAATAACAGTTCTACTAATAATACAAATTATTCAAGACGTATTAGATAACATAAGTTACTTCATATAATGAAAGAAGGTATTGTGTCTATCATATTTTAATTATCTTTTTTTTTTGTTGACACAGGTATGTTTTGAGTCTGCTGAAATATTTATGGCTTTTAGGAACACAATAAGCTAATGTTTGCTATAGTTCGTCTATTATTTATATGGTGTTTCGTTCCTTGGAACATTATATATATTATGAAGATTACCTGATGAAAGAACATTTTGTATCAAGAAGAGAAAGCAGCAGCAATAGTGCTGCTAATGGTGCTTTGGCACTGTTACTATTGTCCTCCTAGCAAAACAATGGAGGAACCAGCGAAAAAGAAGCAACGTGTTGAAAACAATGATGTTGAGAGGGACACATTATCAGATATCGAGCAGCTTCAAAACAGCCTGTTGGCACAATGCTTATGCAACATACCAGAAAGCAGTTTGCGCAAGCCTTTCACCAGTGCAACAGTGGAAGCTACGGATGGCACTTTTCGATCTTCACTGTTATCAGAGTGGGGAACAGATCAGACTTTAGAGTTCCTAAGCGCTTTGCAACTTCTGTTTGATTTGGCCATTAAGCAAAACACCAGGGGTGTAATGTGCAGAAGAGTGGTAGATGTTTGTGATGCGCTGGCGCGAAACGAGCATGGCATTATAGATCAAATAATCGACCTATCCTGTACAACAAACAAATTCATATCGTTTTCTGCTAGTAGAGTTCTCGCATCGTTTTTTATCGTAACAAAAGAGAATATTGATACAACATGGCTGGAGAGATTAACACAGTCTTTAGTAAATACTCATTCTCCGAGTCAAATGTTATTCACTTTGGATATTGTAAAAAGAGTTGTAGAACATAAGGACTGCAGTATTCACCCTCTTGAGGATACAGATACCGTAATGCAACCGACGCATTGTAATACTATAACGATTTCAGATGCAGAAAGTTTCGATAGTACACCCGTAAAAGCAATGTGCGTGAAAGCTTTAGAGTCTAAATGGACCATACTAGTATCAAAATTTGATGCCATTCTTAGTTCGTATACGCCACAACACGAGTCAGTCGTTATCACATTCCTCGATCTGTGGGAATCTATTATCTCCGTGAAAGCTAACTTGTCTGTTATTGACACAAAACTTTTTTATTCTCAGTTAGACAATCTGGTTGTACTTTTGAATGCCAATGTTCCTGGTGTAATTTGGAGACATCTTCTTGGATTATTTAATGAAGTATTATGTTATGGAAGCACTTTGGCATTGCAAGATGTACTTCCAGACGAGCCTTGCTCTCTTGCACACTTAATTGTACGTGCCGTAAAAGATTGGAGATTATTAGATGCTCTGCCGTATCGATATGGTTCTGGAAGATTTGGAGGCGGTACTGGAGAAGGTGATCGTCCCCTTTTGCAAAAGATAGTGTTGTTAGTTTTAAAAAGTGTCGCTGTGACTGTTAAAGAGACACGTAGCGATTCTAGTGACTCTTCTTTGGGCTCTGAAGCTGAAGATCTTGATGCTGATATGGCGGTCATTGAAAGAAGCATACGAGAAGTCTTGCGTCAACTGGATCAATGTGTAAAAGCACTGATGCCGTTTCACCCTGAAATGCCTTTGTCACAATGGGTTGTGCAAATGTTTCATGATCAAGATGATTTTTTGATCGAAGGCATGGTCTGTTGCTTAGATGTAGCAGTTGGTTTATTTTATAGAGGACCACCACAAAATGATCTTGGTCACATGCTTAGTCCAACTTTAACATTCGTACAGTTTATACATGCTGTATCTCATGATCCAGATGTTTTGTTAGATTTACTTGTTAGTAATGAAACATGTTTCTTATTATACTTATTGAGATTCTTGAAGTACATTAAACGAAACTGGACAGAGTTTATCTCTTGTTGTGGAAGAGAGTTAGATGATACCATGACAATATTGATAAGACTTCGTTTAGCAATCGATAGATTAGTATCTAAAGCTTTGTTTCCTTATAACATAAATCCAGTTCTACGTTTGTTAGAAAAATGTGAGTCCTTCTATGAAGGTAATATAGAAAATTAATTATTTGATTGTATGATAAGTGTGAAATTCAAAATTCAGATTTACTAGATCGATGTGTACAAACTGTAAGAATAAATGAAATTTTGCCAGCTGGCTCGTTTTATCAGCCGGAAACTATTACGAAATTGTACAGCCTTGTTAACTTCATTTTTTAAAAACGACTGAATTAAGCTACTGACTTGTGTAGTATTGAATACCTAGATTAATATTAGAGGAATGAAAAGAAAATATGTTTATTTATTGTGCTTAGCAAAAGATTATTCATTTGAAAAATATTATTGAATTTTTACTGAAAAATTAATGTTCTGCATTTCATGGTTGAAGTATCAAATGGGTTGAAGTAGTACAAAGGATAGCTAAAATTACATGCTTCACAATGAAATCGCACTTTTATGGTGCTATGAAAGTATATTTGCCAAAGCACCATTGGAAATAAATTTAAATGTATACTATTAGAAATAATATTTATGTGTGTACATCCAACTAAATGTACAATTTGCCAGTGAAATAGAGTTTTGTAAGCTGGATTCTGATGTGCACAATTATACCTAAAGATATCTCATAGATACTTGTGTACATAAATTTTATTTCATTTTACAGAAAATTGTTGAAATATTTTCTAAAAGATATTTTTAAAACCACTTCCGTTTTCAATCATATTATAAAAGTGCAAGGTATTGAAGCATTGGACACACTAGTGTATTAGATTATAAAATTGTCTTTTCAATTTTATGCCAGTGGCATTAGTAAAGTATTTAATTTTATGATTTGTTAACTCAAAATATATAAATAAATTTGTCTCAGTTTATTCTTTAACTGACAATATAAGAAAACTAAGTTTTTCTCTATCTTGTCCATGTACTTAAATACAGGTGTAAAATTTAATGTTTGTAAGATGGAACATTATATCATATTGTCATGATTAATTAACATTGTATAAATAAACAATATTGTATAATACTGGAAATATATAAAAGCAAAACTACTGGCAGTGGTAAATAGGAGTCATTGACATTTAAAGTTATGCCAGTATTAATAAATTATTTTATCCAAATGGCAATCATTGCTCCTAAAGTAACTTTAAGAACAGTACTTGCCACGATTGTTTTGCTATCTCTGTATTTGTATATAATAATTGTAATGTTAATTATTTTAAGATTAACTCTGTAAGTATGATACATGTAATACACTAAAAATCTACATATTTTTACTTTTATAATCATGGTCTAAACTTATTTATTTCACTTTTCCCAGTGCGGATTTATAAATTATATATTTTTATGTATGTATAATTTATTGCTTTAATTCATATATTCTATTTTTAAACAAATACAGTAATACATAATTTAATGTGGCATTGGAAGCTTATTAAATTTAAAAGTACAACATGCATCATTTCTTCATTTCATATTTGGGATACGACATCTGTTGTCACTTGCCACGTATTATTATGATCCGCGTAGGTAAAAAAATCTACTCTCTGACCTCTGACAGTACATACTGCAGGGAGAGATACTATTATAATTTGTGTTTAGTTTATTGCCGGTTTCGTTGTAAGTACGTTTTATTTATACTTTGTCAGTAAATTTTATAACCAGTAATGGCTAAATTTTTCTGTTAATGAAAGGTTTTACTAAAATGGAAATCAAGTTATTGGAAAGAATACAGAAACTCGGGTAAGCGGTTAGAGGTTATAATGTAAAGTGTTGATACAACTTGATTTATAGAAAAATTATCGGTTAGATAAATTTATTAGCTTTATGTGAAACATTCGAAGTTAATAAATATAATTTAAAATTGTTTTTCAATTCAATATTTTTAGTATTTACTTTAATAGTCCTAGTATTTATTAAAATTTCATGTTATTAGGTACAATGGGGAGTTGATAGATTCCAATAAATATATGGAAGCCTTAAAACTAGGCCCAAAGTCGCCAGAATTTACAAAACTTGTTGCATGGCTGGCAGATGAAATAGCAATACTCAATGATATGGATGAAACTATCCATCCAATAGTGTCATCAGATGATTCTAGTTCTTTCTTATTAGAATTAAGCTGTTTTCTTAAGGAATTAGGATGTCTAAATGAGAGACTAATGTCAGGTAATATTAACTCAAGATTGTCAACTCAACAAGATAGGTATATTTTGTTAGATTTTTTGGGAGCAGAATTGATGGCTTCCAGATTGATAGAATCTAAACGACATAAAACTTCAACTTCCGTGGATGTTCATGTTGTAAGTTTTTACTACAAAATAAGGGCTAAAATAATATAATTATTATGAAATCCTCACAATTTTTATGTCTCCAATATAGGAAGAAAGTGATACAGCTAAAGACTTGAAAGATCTCTTAGTAGCATTAAATTTTGAAAAACCACCAGATGATATTACTCCTGAGAAATTATTTGCAAGACTAGAGAATAAGTTGAAAGATGTACTAAAAACAGTTCCACCTGAGCTTATAGGTCAGCCATTAATTACTAAAGACTTTACAGAAAAAGAATGGAAAGATTTAGAACACATTCAACAGGAATTGCAAGACGAATATAGAATGCGACGCGATATGTTACTCAAACGATTAGATGTAACAGTACAATCTTTTTTGGTCAGTATAAATAAGTAGCCTCAATTAAATACACTGAAATTATTGAAACTTAATAATGCTCAAAAATAAGTGATTTATATTTCTGTACATAGTGGTCGGATAGGGTAAAGACTCGAGAAGCTGAGCTAAATAAACGGTACGAAGAAACTAGGAAATTTTTAAGCGCAGAGCCTGATATTACATTTGCCGACTTGCTAGCAGTCAGAGATGACATAGCATTAATTGAAAAAACAAGCAATGCAAGTGTTAGAAAAAATACTAAAAGTGACATCAATTCAATAGAGCGTATGAACAGGAGCCACCACCGCCTGAAATGCCACCATGGCAAAAAGACAGAGTAGCAGGACCTTCAACGTCTGGGTTAGTCAATATTAATAAATAATCATACACAAAATGATTTAAAGCAAATATATAAGTTCACATTGTTTTTAATTTAGTGGAGGTCGCGGAGGTCGCGGAGGTCGCGGAGGTGGCTACAGAGGTCCGGGCAATAGTGGATATGCAGATGGTGGGTCTTATGGTTCTAACTATTCTACCAACAATAGTGGATTTGGTGGACAAGCAGGGGAGTATGGGGGGAAACGAGGAGGAGGATATGGAGGAGGTCAAGGGGGAGGATACGGAGGAGGTCAAAGTGGTGGATATGGAGGAGGTCAAAGTGGTGGATATGGAGGAGGTCAAAGTGGTGGATATGGAGGAGGTCAAAGTGGTGGATACAGAGGAGGTCAAAGTGGTGGATACGGAGGTGGTCAAAGTGGTGGATACGGAGGAGGTCAAAGTGGTGGATACGGAGGAGGTCAAAGTGGTGGATACGGAGGAGGTCAAAGTGGTGGATATGGAGGAGGACAAGGTGGTGGGTATGGAAAGACTCAAGGAGGAGCATATGGAGGAAATCAAAGTGGAGGATATGGAGGAAATGATAGTTATAGTGGAGACAACAGAGATGCAGGTAAGAGGTCTGGAGGGAATATTATAAATAATATATCATTTTGACCAAACTATTGATTATCACTAGACTGTAGATGTTTATAGCATCTCCTGACTTGCAAAACGTAGTGAAATAAGATTCAAGTAAAATTTAATAGTATTTATGTGTTATTGTTAACATATTAAAACCTCTAGTAGTAGAAAGAAAGTTCTGTGCAATTTTGTTTCGTAGATATTAATGCCTAAAATTGTAATTTTGCGTAAACGTCGGCAGTCTAATTGTCACGAACTCTAATCAGGGTATGATCACCGATATTGCTATACAAGTAATACAGATTCTGCTCAACAATTTGATAAAGGTGGACAACAGTATCAAAGAGGAGATGCAGGTGGTGGTAGCGGAAGTAGGGGGAATAGAGTTCAGGGAGGATGGAATCAAGGAAATAATTCTAGTACAGATAACTATCAACGTGGTGGATACAATAGAGGTGGAAGCAGAAAAGGACGCCAATACTAAAATGCTATTCCTAAAATACCATTCTTACATCACGTTCTTACATCAGTTTACATTAAACAAGCATAATAATCAGTATCAATGATCTATATAAATTTACGCTTTCTTGTTTATATATTTTACATAACATCTTCAAATGCAATGTGCGATGTAAGTTATAATATGCGATATAAATTAGGAATATTAAGTTTAGTTTTTAAATAAATTAGAAGTTTTTATGTTATTTTCAATATATATTTGAATTACTTGTAGACATTGAAACAGTCATTATTTATATATTTATAACATTGACTTTGTCATGTATTTGTATTTGAATCTTGTAAATATTCATTTTTCTGTATAATGGAAATGAACTTTCCTAAACTCAACAATGTTTTGTATTTGATAATATAAAATTAATTGATTCAATTGAATTGTATAAAATATGTTAGTAAATATATACATATTATGATTACATATTATTAGTAGTTTTGGGCTTACCTGCTATATGAATTTTCTGAGAATACCTGCACAATTTCTTCTATGAATTTATATTTCTTAATTAGATGAATCAAAATTAAAATCCGAAGGGATATGGTAAGAAAATTTATCGGAAAATAATCTTCTGATGTCCTTTGTAACTAGGATGTAGAGGAGTACCATCTATACTTTTTTTAGTTCATGTTCAGTGTTCTACTTATCAGCCGTCTATTAGTGAATACAGCGAATTTTTGATATATGAGAAAACAAAATGCCAGTAAGTGTTTTTTCTGACGAATCATTTCATTTACCATGGTTTATCTATTCTCAAGAATCAAAAGTTCTGCTAGGCGGGAATATTAAGCTTGATGCGGTCTAATATGCATATTGCATATCTACTTAAACATTTCGCGCAATACGTCATAGTTTACAAAACGGGTACGATCTGTCATTAAAATTCTATATAAACGTCAGTGCTTTTCCATCAAAGCGTTATTTTTTTATCAGACCTCTTATCGGTCAATATAAAAGGAAGTAACATTCCCTCGAGAAATGACACATTTGCAAGATACTTGATTGAGTGATTATCTCAGGTGAGTATTGACGGACATGAAGATGTATAATTTGTTTCTAACGTTACTTTGTAGAATAATTAATTAAAAGTTTCTTTATGCACTTTGGTAATTAACACCATAAACAAAGATTTTGTATAAAGTAAATGTCTATATAGTTGATTTTTTAGCAAACGTATCGAAAAATAATTTGTACTTTACATACTAGGTTTTCAAAGGAAGTTACTTATATAAATTGCAATTACTGATAAAGAAGAAAGATGTCAGGTGGAGAAAGGAAGAAACGTGCTTGTGATAGAGGACAAGGATGGGAAGAGGCAGGCGCAGAATTCTATCAGGAACGTTATCCAGCAGCCATTGAAGCTGATTTACAGCAAGCATTACAAAGGGATCCTTCTCATATAGCTACTTTATTACCAAGTAAAAAATCTCGTGTTGGTAAGTTTTTGTATATTGGGTATATATTTAAAATACAGGTGCTACTTCTAGAACTTCATGTTCCAACATATTCGTCTTTTGTTTCTAACATTTATTTTGTTTGAACGTATCATGCTCTATAATACATGTTAAAAAACAATGTAGTGTATATATAGAAATAGGACCTGACTAGTTTCGTTGTATTGACCTAGTAACCATTATATGTGTTATATTTAGAAAAGACAATGTTATCTTATCGATGCAGATAAGATATTAGATGGAATAAAAGGAAATTACAAAATAATCATATACAGATATTTTATTCTGAACCATAGAAATGTAAATCATGCATACGAATGAAAGTAAATCATTAAATACACAAAATAATAGGTGGTGCCTGTATTCTAAATAAGCATTGTATATTGAAAAAGTTATACATAAGTCAAGTTATTGTGTATGTGTTATAGCTACTGCCAAACGAATACGTAATGACACAAAAACAACATTGAGAAGAAGGACTAGTACAAGATCACGTGGCACAACTACATCAAGGCGTATGTCAACAAATATTCATGATGCAGCAGTGTCTATGTTGCCTGATTTATCTGAGAATTTATCTAATGAAGAACGTACTTGGGAAGAAATAATGCAGATCAAAGCAATGCCCATATGCATGACACAAAAAATACAATTAAAAAATCAGTTACAAGTATGTCATGCAAAGTTGTTATCAATAATGTTAATAGAGAAGTTGAATTTTTAATGCAAATATATAAATTTGTACATGTATATATTACATACATACATTTATATATTTCAGAGTGCTACAAAATTAAGATTACAAGGTTTTGAGCAATTGAAGTGGCAACGAAGAAAAGCTTGGCAACAATTTCGTATAAGAATGAAGGAAGCATACTCAAAAATGGAACTATGGAATGATAGTTTGAAAACAATTGGAGGAAACTTTGGAATGGGAATAGTATCATACTTTTTATTCATCAAGTGGTTAATGTATCTGAATATTCTCTTATTCTCACTTATGTTCTTATTTATTATTTTACCTGCAATATTAATTAATGTGCCAGGGGAGGAGTCATGTGAAAATTCTAATAGTAGTCACAGCATATCTTGCTGTTCAGAGTTATATTGGAATATAACTCAAGAAAGCAACAGTATAACTGGCTTTGTACAAGGCATTGGTATTTTAGAATACACTGCATTGTTTTATGGTGCATACACTCGTATGTCTTACGACGTTTCTGGCATATTTTATAACTTACCATTATCTTACATTTGTGCAACTATTAGTGTGTTTATATTTAGCTTGGTAGCGATTGTTAAGACAGCGGCCAAAGGTTTCAAGCAGAGGGTCGTTGAAAATGAAGGTCAATTCTATCAGTACTGCAATTTAGTTTTCGGTGGTTGGGATTATTGTATACATAATGAAAAGTCTGCCACTATAAAGCATAAAGCATTATACAATGAAATGAAAGGATTTTTAGAAACCGAAAGATTGGAAGAAGAAAGGCAAAATCGAACGAGGGAGGAGAAAACAAAATTCTTTTTCATGCGTCTATTTATTAATTTAATTGTTGCAGCTATATTGTGCGGTTGCGGTGCATTCATTTACTATGTATTTGAATTTTCCTTCGATCATATCTCACACCAATCGGTTCAAAGCTACGATATAGGGTATATATCGTTGAATGGCATCATTATGTTATTCTTGGAGTTTCTTCCATATATTTGCATTGTTGTTTTAAATCTGACAGTACCGTTTTTATTTCGCTACTTGGTCACTTTGGAAAATTATAGTCCATTGTTCGTTGTGCGCATAACACTTTTCAGGACTATATTTCTACGATTTTCTTCTCTAGCTGTATTACTTACATCATTTTACAGACTAATTGTAATTGAGGTATTGGACAACGAATGTACCAGTAGTCGTAGACCATTATGCTGGGAAACGTTCGTGGGACAACAATTTTTTAAACTCTATATAACTGATATTTTTCTCCAGTTTGTCATGACATTTTTCATTAATTTTCCTAGATCTTTAATAGCAAAACACACAGAAAACAAAGTGCTACGTTTTTTCGGAGAACAAGAATTTGATTTATCTAAGCATGTGCTAGATGTTGTTTATTTACAAACAATATGTTGGCTTGGTTGTTTCTTTGCACCGTTATTACCATTCGTTGCTGTAATTGGTACTTTTCTGCTGTTTTATATCAAGAAGTTTGCCTGTTTAGTAAACAGTACACCATCAAGTAAAATTTATAGAGCAAGTAAATCAATTTCACTTTTCATGTTCATTTTGTTCATTTCTTTCATTCTATCTGCAGCTCCAGTCGGCTACACCATTGCAGAAATACTGCCATCAAAGTCTTGTGGTCCATTCAGAGGTTTTAAATCAGTGTGGGCTTTGCTCATTTTAACATTCTCTCAGTTTCCTAATTGGCTTCAGTCGATTTTATATTTTGTTAGTACTTCTGGATTTGGTGTGCCAGCCTTTGTTGTTCTTATTTTATTTTTGTATTATTATTATGCAGTATCAGTAGCAAATCAGCACATGGTCACAGTTTTAAAGAATCAGTTGGTACTAGAAGGTCATGATAAACAGTTCTTACTTAACAGATTGAGTGCTTTTATTAAGCAGCAACAAGACCAAAACAAATACCACCAAGAACAAGCAAACGAGTTAGGCACATTTTCATAAAGAATTATGAAAGTTAAAGTACTTTTTATGTAGCAGTTTAAAAACGCACAAATTTCGTAAATGTACAGTATAATTAAGTCTAAGCTGAATGATTGAAATTTGAATGACTTTTGTTGACATTTTATGTGATAATGAGACTATATAACTAATCTTGTCTATTTATATTAAATTAGTAGTATTACAAAACGTTCTGATGGTATAGTTATATAGTGTTTGATTATTTCATTAAATGGTGACTCCAACAGAGTTATACGAAAATTGTCATTATGGACAATATGAAGAGGTTTATGTATTTTATGTTAAGAAATTTTGCATTTAAAAACGCACCACATTCATTGCCAAACAATTTTTATAACAGTTTGTCAATTAAGTGAAAGAGTATTTGAGACTACGATATGCTTGTTGATTTAATTAGGTAATTTTAAATATGATAAAGGAACACCTAAAAATCAGGGTACAAAATGAAAACCGTGCAATAGTAGGAAAAATCGCAAAGTATTTATTGTGTACTCGTAGTTTTAGTAACTATACAGACAGAATTTATAATACCTTAACATGGGATAGAAGTAAGTATGTAAGACAGTTCTTTTAAAAATGACTTCTCAAATGGTAGGCAGAAATCTTATTTATTGTTTTTTTTTGGTAGTATCACAGAATATCATAAATTTACATTTTAATTTTATAAACAAATATTAGGGTGCTTTTGCTAAACTAAAGTGAAGTGATATATGGTGGACCTATTTTTAGATTAGCTGTGTATTAGAAACAAAATACAGTTGTAAATAGGTTTTGTAGGCTGATCAGAAGACTTTTAGGAATAAGAACATATTTTATAGTAGAATATTTATTAACTATGTATCTACATAGATACTTATCAACCAATAGTACTATACTTTTCCGAAACATTTATAATTTAATTTATTTATTTTCATACGTCAAGAATATTTATTATTGTTTTTGAATTAATATGCCATACATACATATTATATCAGTAATAGCCATCTCTGAATATTTTTACTTTTTCAGTATATTGATCGTTTTATGGTGTAAGAGGAAAAAAGTTGCTTTACCTTATAACACTGCCATTGTACATGAGAACAAAATTATATTAACTTTTATATACATATATATATATATAAAGATATGCATATATAAAAAAATGTCTGTAGGAACTATGCATGTATGCAATATTTCTTAGAAGTAATCATTACAAATTCATAGGACTGCCAATGTACTTTACATAGTTTCAAGAAATGCATTTTATATAAATTTTATACAAACATGACCACATGCAAGTAGCTGTGCGTAATATCACGTGAACACAACTTTTATTAAAGATTGTTCTGCATTCAATATTAATTTAATGTCTCTAATTCTAATTTGATATTTAATATTACTATTTCTTTGGTAACATAAAGAAACAGTATTAAAAAGTATATATAGATATATAATATACTTAGCAGTACCATGCATAACAAGGAAAAATCTTCTGTATTAAAAAGATGATATATGCTTAACACCTTTATTGCAAAATTTTATATATTTACAAAAATAAGAAAATAAATTACGAATATACTGTTTATCCTATAAAAGACTGCACACTTTTCAAACAGCTTTCCTAATTAAACCAAAGATCATTTGCGATGTTTACATATTTCATAAGGAATTATAAGATGTCTGTTATGTATGACAAGAATATATGCTCATGACGTAAAATATGGTTAATAAACTATAATATACATGAAATATACAAAATATTTATTATTATTTCTCTTTAAAAGAAAATACAAAAATAGTTTTAATTTAATTACGTAACAAGACTGTCTTGCATTTTGGTTGTTAAATGTTATTATTTCAATTATGATTCTGTAGAATGTAGCTAAAACAAAAAATATATCAAATAATTAAAAATACCTTGTTCAATTAGCATTTGATACCTACTGCTTCAGCTATGTCAATCCAATCAATTGCTGCTGCTAAAGCATCATTCTTAGATGGGATTTTATCATAGTTCCAATAGGTAAAGTATGAAAATGTTCCTGTGGAATATAAATTTCGTTCCACATTTTCTACTTCAGGTTTCTTGTGTTCAAGAAATGTGACACCCTTATATCCAGAAGGTATTGTCACCTTTCTTCCATGAAGGGGATATCCACGAAATGAAGAATTGTAATCTTAGTATAAAAAGAGGATACGTTAATTTAACCTAAAATTAGTTATAGGAATATCGTATCTAAAAGTTTAAGCATTGTACAAGCATTACAGTGTATTAAAGTTTCTTTAATTTACACATCTTGAAACAATTGCGCTCGTAGAAATGTTATTTTCTCTGTTAAGTAATAAGGTATGATAAAGACAAATTTAAATACAACAAACTTACGTTCATTGTCAACTTTTCGAATGTAAGGTGTAAAATAGGATGAAACATTTGCAGATTCATTGCCATGAATTTTGCACGGCATTAAATGCAATATATTTTCTTTCGTTTCGGATACATCGTGTTTCAGGTGTAAACGTATAGCCATGTTTACGACGAAAATGGCGATGCAATATTTCGGCGGGAATACACACGATCTTTACAACTGATGTTATGACAAAGTGAAATTAAAAAATTCATGAGACGTGTTAAAGAATCATTGCTAATGTTCATTTTATAGTAAACAATGAGATTTTTTGCGGTAATATTTTGAAAGACTCTATGTCCATGCTTATTACATTAGGTGTATATGTATAATACATAAATGGTGTTCTAGGTATAGCAACACATAGGTATAGAATAGACTTATCATCCAATGCTTTATTCTGTCCCACACTTCGGGGCTACGTAGCCCTTGTACCATTTTAATATCAATACCCGACGTTACCGATAAAATATGAATTCTGAGTGTATTTGTCTTTGGCATTAGCCATTTTCTGACTTTGTTGTTTAACTTTACAAAGTTAATTACAGACAACAGAATTATTACGTAGCAAATAAATGTAACATTTTTTTCATGTGTATACATACTATGCATTTTAAGTTATGTGAAGATTATATTTTTTCCGATTCTATGAGTTCCGATTTAGTAAAAACTTTCAGAAAACGTATGCCCATAAAACGAATTAAACAATCGTAAATTAGTTTAAGATATCTAGGATTATTTCAGGACTTCAGGATTAATTTGTGTAACTTGGAAAGTATTTATTTATTATTTATTAAAGAGTTACTATAATTTGGATTATATAAATTACTCAGATGTGATACGTAAATCGATGTTTTCTATTGTTGCTTCTATGTGTAATTTCTGTGTCGTACAGTCCCTATTTTTGTTTAGTGCATATAATACAGTTAGTTCATATAGTTCATGAAGAAATTTGCTAATTATATTTACAAGACCGTAAAACTTACCGTTTACAAAATCGATTGTTTTTTTTTTTGCTATAAATTAGCAGTACCGATAATTAGTCACCACCGCGACAAGTAATTCAATACGATATACGATCAAAGAAATATATAATTTCCGACCATAGTAAAAAGATGTTATTTGTGAGTAAAAAATGACAGCTTCTCATTTTGCCCGACAATTAGGATCTGGTTGGTGGCGATCTGAATTCTGCGAACTCTGCGATTCACACGTCAGGATAGGTCGTTCGTACTCGCAGGACATGTGACGAGCCATCTTCAGTGGGGATGACCCCCTCCCCCTGGCCGTTGCCGGCGCCACGAAAAGTAGTGGGGAAAATTTACCACCGTAGCGCGACGCGCACACGTAGCGTCAGTCGCAGTCGATTGCTCGATTTGATTCGGTCTTGTGCATTTTGATCTCTGTTGAGAGGAACTTCGTGTGAGAGAACGAGTTTTTTTCCCTGTGAACAAGAGAACACAGTGTTCGCGAACCTTAGGGCGCACGTCACGGCAAAAGTTTACGATTCTCGTGTTGTGTGAACCGTTTTTTCTTTATCCCCGCGGGGCAAGGCAGACTCGATCGGTTCAAAGATGAGCACGCCGGTGAAGAAAGTGCCTATCCACCTGCAGGTCAGTTTGCCGATCTTCTTTATTTTTATCGTTGATCATCTAGCTTCCGCGAGAGGCTCGTGTTTCCCTTACTGATCGAGCGTCCGTCGTGTAAATAAATTGCGTAGGAATAGATTGTACGGGCGTGTTGAAGGTGGAGCGAATTTGGGAATGAGACCCGGCTTGTCCCTATTGTTACGTGCTGCGTCCGTTGATACGACTGGAAATTACACTTGGTGTCGTTCGATCGATACCGAATCTTTCTATTAAAAATAAGTCTTAAATGAAACGACAAACAAAGAATTCACGTAATATTCATTCTTGTCGAATCGATAATCTCATCGTGGTATCGTTGCCCGTGTATGTACTTCCCGTTTCATTGAAAAATCATCTTCGTGGTGATGATACACACGTTCTCGGTCTAGTATCAAAAGGTCTGTGAGAATATTCGTGAATTGAATGATCAGAAAATAGGTTATCAACCTGTTTGCGAAGGTTACACAAGTAAAGGTGCGTCTACCTTTGGGGTAACCATCTGTTTGAATAAGAAAAATCAGAAAGTTGATACCAATCGTCTTGATAATTAGTATCGCTGAAAAGAGAATAGATTTCAGTATGGCAGCGAAGTAATCGGTGCCGGTAAATGTCTCCGTGTACGTATAAACAGGGGTAAACATCACTGGGGCTTTGAGATTATCACGGGTGAATGCAATGTGTATCACTGAATTCGATACCGCCCGAATCTTGCGGCTACAAGCGGCGTTTCCACGGAAGCTGTGTGCTGTTGCATCGATTTTGCCCGCGTTTCTGCGTACCTATTAGTTTATCCAATATACGGAGTTGTCTTCGTATTGCGTTCCGTACACATAGTAGCCGCGTTTACATTGGTCGAAAGAAGTATCGGTACACGCCCATTTTTGTCAAGATAATATTATGGATTCTTTAGTTTCTATTTACGATTATAGTGAGCCTTCAAACGATCTGTTTGTAGTTCTATATTTTTTGTTTTGTACAGTATATTTACTGCAAGAAACATGAGTGCGGTAATATATTTTTTTATCCATATTCAAATTTATTTTAATGTTTATACGATAAAAAGAATATTGAAAGTTAAATATGACTTGTAAGTCAAATTGATCTGAACACTGTACGGGGGTTAAATTGAGTTATTGTAATAATTATAATGCAGTCTCGTGAGATGATTTTCGAAGTTCGATTTTAATATAATTCGCGGTGATAATCGTTTTTATTACTTATTAAATAAACGGGATAAGCTCCATTAGAGTACATTCTACGTAAATGTAAAGTATGTTCGGTTTATTCATGCTGTTATTTCTCTAACTATTGGAAAGGCGAAAAAATATTTCATATGAGAGTTGGTTGATTTTATGGAGTAAACTTAATAGAATATTTGAACATTTATTTAAATTGTTATTTACAGTGATTTTAATAGCAATATAAGTTTCTAAAACGGAACTACATATTTTTATTGTTGCTATATTATATAATTTGATTATTTATTTTATTTGTGTTAATATAATTAGACATATTTGAAAGTTCTGTTTGAACAATAATTTCTCAGATAACTGTATGAATATTGTGGCAAATGTCAAGTTCGGTTAGCGTTTTTTAATTGTAACGTCTGATCCGTGAGACAAAAATAGTGAAGAATAGAAAACGTGGACGTGTCATGTAGACATACAAAATACTTACAAATAAATTCCATTCTTTTACGAATAAAACAATTTATAGACGAATTACGGGTCCGCATGAAGTTGCGTATAGAGCGCAAAGTCAGTGAACTTCCGATCGATAGCCATGCCGGAAGGGTTATTTACTCGAGCGACATTGTAACACATAATTCATTTGTTAGGAATTATTCTAGTATTTATAGATGATATTGCATTGAATTGTAAGAAGATACACGAAATAAAAATTATTTACTTTTATACTATTCGTGCGCTGTCAATGCTTGTGATTACACGCTCCAATCTTTAGAGTCTAAAGTTCCGATAAATGGAACCGACACGTGTATATCTTTCATTAAACATATAGCAAGAATTACATATGACTAACTTGAATAAACATTGTAATCGCATCGCAAATAACTCTCTCAGTTTCATGGAATCGTTGTTTTCATAAGGTAACATATAAAAATGTGAATTTTTAAAAACATTTAGGGTAGAATTGAATACAAATAATTATATATGTCCCGAGATGAGTGGCATGCACAAAACACTAATCGAATATGTGCAATAACATTACTTTACTGTATTTTATTTCGAGAAAATTGAAATATTCTTTAGCAGTGTGAGTTTACATATTATTCAGCTTGGGTGTGCCTATTCATTTGTTAACTATTTCCATTTGCGTTAATGTTTAGACACTGATATATTACGGAATTAACCATTTTCCAAAATATTTTGATACAAAATCGACCGTTGAAAGGTTGCAATGTCAATGGAAACCGATCGTAACGTACCGCCGACTGTGTATTACAAGCAGAAACTGCGAATAATAGACATGCTCCGAGACACGCAACTTGGGGTTACTGTCAGATTTAGTTTTCTCGAAAACGAAGCACCACGTAATAAACATGTCATTACCAATTTTCAGTTTGCTTTTATGTGCACACAATTGTCTCCTTGATCCCACCACTCATTGCGGAGGATCATGAATGAACTAGTCTCTATGTAATATTTGAAGAAACTTTGGACATTGTGTTCGGAAATGAATCACGGAACTATGCTCACTTTCATTCTGAACAAATAAAATGCATATTTTGTTTGTAGATTCTACTTCACTATCAAAACATACTTGTTTCTGTTATTATGTTCGCCATTTAAATCTCTCTTATGATCGTCACTACAGGAATCGGTAAATTCATTATCTAGATAAAGAGTTTCGAATAACGAATAAAAGATAAAAACAAGTATTCCGCCAATGTTTATCGATGAAACGTCGAAATTCCAATTTTTATAATAAAATAATCTTTCTTGAAAGTTACCTGGCAAACAAATTATTCAATCTCATTCAAAGGTGAGAATGACGCTCTTAGAGCTATTTACTAGAAATATGTATGTGTTATTCGAATAAAATTCTGCCCAACTCTGCGCCATTGTAGCGCGGGCGGTTCTTTCTGCGTCACTGTTAAAACCGAAAGTTTCGTCGCCGCACCGGTAGCGAATTGCAAGGTTGCTGCCTTATTGATCCAAGCGCCTTGGCGCCCAGCACCGGTCGTCTATCTCATAAAAGGAGCCTAAGTTGAAACGCCTTGTATATACGCCACATTTGTGCACAATGGCACCGTGTAAATTCGGTTGAGTTCCATACACCTGGGACCATATTTGTTTCTAACGGGGCCTTTTTTGGAGCATTCCAAGAAGGGCTGCCACCCTTTAAGCCTTTTTAAGAGAAATATGTTAATTTTAATAGATACCTCAAAAATTGCATATTTTTCAAGGTATTTTTGGACGATACCCGGAAAACTTATAAAGTACTATAAGACCTAATTTTCCCCGTGCACTACTTCCGAAAATGTGGAAATTGTTGAAGTGATAAGTATGATTCTGGGACCGGGGACACCAGTTCGGCCAAACCCGCAAAAGGGATCTCAGTTTACGGTTATCCTTGGCTGTACAAATTGTCTCCCACCATAACCATTATAACAATATTAGTATTTATTTAAAATATAAAACAGCTAAATAAAGAGAAATAACATCGAAATAGTAAATAAAAAAAAAAAAACATTCCTTACGGTGATCATGAATTTTCGATATTCCGTTTACGGCATTCACGGTTATGTAATTTCTTCGAAACGATCGTGGTTTCGTGAAGATTAATAACTTCTGCTTTCTTGACGGTCTTCTGGTGCTAGAAACCGCAGGTTCAACGGCGGCTCCTCGACGCACGGGAATTCTCGCTCCGTGGAAATCGTACGGGGCGTGCTGGGGCGCGCTGTCTAGGTAGTCGGGGGAAATCAATAGTTCGTCGACACTACCGTCGACCTAAAGTCGGAAAAACCACGGGCTCGATTTTACGGGCACGCACTCGTCGACCTCGTCGTCGCCCAGCGCTGGAATCCACCGATCTCTCCTCCCGTCTGTGGCGAATGTCTTTCGAACATCTTTCCGTGGTGAGACTCCCCAGACAGCACCGTACATCCTAAGGACGTCCGTTTCATGTCCAGTTTATATCCGAATGTCCTACGTCCATTTTGAACATCCCTAGGACGTTCGTAAGATTTAAATTTCGGATGTTCTGGAAACGTCCGTCCCAAAAGTCCTACGGATGTTCTCAAAACTTAAATTTCGGATGGTTTCGTTTAGAATATTTTTATTTTTGCCAATGTCATTCCGTGCAAGGTGATGGAATCCAATTTTGATCGTGTTACTAGTACTTCCAACCTGTGTACCGATTCTTACTATCTTCTTGCGTACGTAAAGTTAATTACAAGTAGTAACTTATCCATGTAGTTTGCTCCTGTTTGTACCTAAAATTTTGGTCAAGTGTCAATCAAATTGTATATCGAATTTCTTTCTCGCTTCTAGGACATTTATTCCAGTAACTACAAGCTTCACCATTTAAACTTCCGCGGAACAGTGTACTTTACAGTTTGCTCAAGTTTTACTTGGTTCTCCGTGTCATAACCTTATTAACCTTAATTGCACGGTTCATTAACGCACTTTGTTCCAATCAGTTCGTAGTCTCATCAATAAAATAGTCCCATCAAGTTCTCTCCTCTAGTTTCATGGTTTCTGTTCGCGAGCAAGTGGTCTGAACGTACACGCGCGCCAGCGAGATCCTCATCTTTTTGCCTCACCGAGAACTTGACGGCAAATTTAGTCGTATGGAAGTCGGTCAGCCAAAATGCAGATTACCCGCGTTATTCCGTGGGGCATACGTAAATAGACACGCCAGGGAAGCCAGGTGTGACCCGGCGTTACCGTTTCCGCTGCGACTCCCCGTTTGTGTACACATGGAAATTAGAGCGCGAAGGTGGTATTGGTATTGGCCTTTTT